AGGNCCGCCAGTGNCCGATTATCAGTGGACCTGCAGCCGGGTTCCACCGCCACCGCGCCTACAGCCTCCAGAGCACACGCCACCAGCAGCGCACCCGCCGCGCCGCTGTCAGCGCCGCCACCGCCGCCGCCGCCGCCAGCGGCGATCCCGCTGCCTGTGTGCGCGGAGCTGCTTAACGTCAGCTGTGATGGCGGCCTGCGGCCGCCGCCGCCAGCGGCGGCGGATGCCGGGCCGCCACCTCCACCACCGTCCGCCGGACCGCCACCGCCACCGCCACCGCCGCCGCCACGCAGCGGCCGCATCAGTGCTGCACAGCGGCTTGAAACGATGGAGGGTCCGAAGCAAAGCGCCTTGGCGGCACGAGCGAGTGATAGATCCTGTGGGGAGGGTGGGGGGCAGGGCGTAACGAGGAGCTTTCTCGCCCCTCTTCCTAAGGTGCCAGGGTTCACAGATCACCTGATCAAATCCCGGACACCGATATTAATTCATCCAAAAGAAGAGGGAACTCCACCAGGTTACCCGTGTAAAGTCAAGTCCCTTCTCGACAACCCCAGCTGGCCTCTAGCACAGCAAATTCCACATTATTTCGAACTTTCCCATCTGCGCAAACACGCACTGTTTCCTAGGCCATGGCTGTCTTGCAAAATCCTCTAGGTTCCCTTCCTTGCCTTTTCAGCCCCTCCCATCCCTTCCGCTCCCTCCTCTTGCCGCGTCCCCGCTGCCCTTCCACCGGCTCGCTTCTCAGCCGCTTCAGGACGTGTACTGTACATCTGCTCTGCATTTACCGTGCAGGACATGTATTGCATTTCATTCCAGTTTTTTACCTTTCCCTTCCTTTCCCTCCCCTTTCCTTCCCTTCCCTGTTCAGCACTGCCCCTCAGGGCGCTTCCCCCCTCCTTCCCCCCCCACCTCCGGGTCACACCCCGACAGCGGATCATCCGAGTCCGCAAGCAACGTTGACAGGGAGGGCGCCGCGCGGAGGCCGCTCCAGGGGGCTGTACGGCAGCACGAACACAACAGTACGGCACTCCGCGCATTATCAATAATAATAACAATTATCACAATCCTCAGGACAATGGCTGGCGTGTCGTGCGTTCAAGCCACAGGCGACCGTGCCTATCTTGTACTGTAGCTTTGGCACCGGTAATGCTGGAGGAAAGGGCTGTACAGGGACGGGAACCCGGGAAAGACTACCCAGGCACCAGCGGCGTGGAGAATGAGATCCAGATCCACAAGGGGAGGGACGGGACACACGCACGCACAAGCAACCAGCGTGCACACACCCCCGGGCCCCACCCCAAAAAGCCCTCCGCTGCCCCCACACCCCACACCTGCGCCCACTCTTGCCGCCGCCGGCGCCCACAGCCTTGTGAGCAGCCTGGCCGCCTCCGCCGCGACGCCGTCATGGCCGCAGCCGTACGCCGCCATCACCCGCCCCACCGCCGTCGGGATGCCCAAGAAGACCTCCGCCAGCGAGTGGCATGACACCAGCCGCTGGAGGGCCTGAAGGGGGGGAGGGGGGATAGAAGACGTGTGGAGGGAGGGAGAGTGCGGATTTGGGGGCGGGGCCATGGCACGTCGCTAAACGGTGATGACCAGAAACACATATTATATATCTTTTTTGTGGACAAAAGGACAGACATACAGAAGTACAGGTAGGTAGACAGATACCTTCACCAACGTGCAGCTTAGCAACGCGCTCAAAAAAGATACACATACACACGAAAAACCAGCACAGCACCGGTGGTATAGGGTAGAGGCCGGGTGAGGGAGTGTGTGGGGAAGAGGGCCTGCGGGGTGAGACACGGGGTTGCGCGCACTCTGGCAGTTGTGGCGGTGGGCGGGGGGGGCACGCACATGTACACGCCTGTGGCGGATGCCGTCGTCCCGTTTGCGCTCAGGGTTGGGGTTGGGGTTGGGGTTGGGGGGCTGCACAGCCTTTTGAAGCATCCAGCTTCAATAGGGGGAAGGACGTCATTCACCCCTCCGCAATCCCAAGATCCCTCCCGCTGCTCTGGGAGAGGAAGGTGGGAAGGCGGGAGACGCGGCCCCCCAAACCCCGCTGCCCCCCAGTGCCTCACACACACCTGCAGGGCCGCGATGCTCTGTTTGGCGTCGTCCGGGGACATGTGGCTGAGCGGCACGGGGCCGGGCACCAAGTCGGGGTGCAGCAGAGGCAACACACAAGACAACGCCTGCTCGTCCAGGCGGGTGCCGGCGGCAACGCCGGTGTACGGCACGGAGGCGTTGAAATCATGTACGGCATCCAGCATGGTTTCCGTGGCCTGCGCACGGGCAGCACCAATTAAGGACGGCAGCTTGCGAATGTTGTTCAGAACGAGTCGACTTTTAATTGGAAGACAGCTCCTTCCACACGTAAAGAGAAACCCATCCCGGTGGCGGTCAACTGAAATGTTGTGCCAGTGCCGTACTGAAATCACGACTTGTGAAGTTCAGCCCCAGTCACACCCAGTCTCACATCCAATGATATGTGGACATGTTAGGGTAGCAGGCGCAAACCCCGGGACACTGCGGCTCCATACCCCGGGGAGGGGGATATCCCCGCCTGCTGCTGCTGCTGCTGCTGCTGCAACCCAGGAAGTGTCCTCGCCTGCTTCAGTGTCCCTAGACCCCTCCCCCATCTCCCCTACCAAGTCTAACTTCCCCCCCCTTCCTAATCATGGCCTGTGCAGACAACCCCCCTCACCAGGCGCAACGCCACTGCCACACGAGTGCTCTCAGCGGCGGTAGCGCTGTTGAACTGCCCGGAGAGTACGACACCGGTTTGCGGCGGCGGAGGCGCCGCCGTTGCCGCTGTGTCTCCTCCGCCCTTGCTGTACTGCCGGTTTGACCGCGGGTGCTCGTGTTGCTGCGAGGTGGGGGATGTGAGTGCGGCCAGAGTGCTGGGTGTGGGGGAGGTGGATGAGAACTCGATTTCCGCCGAGTAGAACATGCGACCTGCACCGGTGCAGTGAGGCAGTGAGTCGAACGGAGGGGTTCAGGCGGGCCGTGTGGAAATAATGAATGGAGGCGTTCAGCACCGCACTGAGCCGCTGCTGCCTAACTTGAGCTGCTGCTGTCCCCCCACGCCACATCACATCACATCACATCACATCACATCACCACCACAAGTACTGCTACTATCGCTACTACCACCCTCTTGCATGTAACCCTTGTACAGTCCCAGCCTCTCTACGGACCTAGGCAATTGCTCACTTAACGTTTGCCTCGTACAACTCCCCATTTGCTGCTCTTGCACCTCGCCCTCCTCCCAGCCCCCTCCGTTAACCCCCTCCGTTAGCCCCTGCTCCACCCACCCGAGCTGGAGAGATGCGGCCAGGCCTCCCGGGCCCGGGCCGCCAGCTGCTCCACACACCACCGCTCGGTCTGGAGGGCGGGAAGGGGTTAAGGGGGGAGGGGGGGGAGGAAGACGAACCACTGACGATTAAGCAGAAGGGGAAGGGGAGTAAGGTAAGGTGAGGTGAAGTGGTTTCGAAACTTGTTACCAGAAACAGACAACGGACAACCGAATGTGGGCTGTCTTAGGTCATCTCGACATGGAGGTGGTCGTTGACAAGTGCCAAGGTAAAGCCCGCCCGCCGTCACATACAGCAATAACAAGATCGCCGAGCTCGCCGCTCCGTCCCAAACTCTCCCCCCACCCCACCCCCAGTCTCCCTCTTCCAGCCCGCTTCAGCTTTTCACTTCTTCATGGTTCATCTTGCCCCCGTAGCCCCCTCCCAGGGCCCCCCTCTCCTGCCGCACCTCTGCGTCCCTGTTCATGGCCGAGCAGTGGCAGGACAGAAAGGCCGCAGCTGATCCCACGATGGGGTCACCCGGCGGGGTGAACCCGGGCAGGACGGGAACTGGCCGACCGGCTGCGCACTGCGGCAACGGGGGAAGGGGGGAGGTGAATATGTGTAAGTGAGGTAGGAGGGGGTACGAGGGGAGAGAAGGGGAGAGCGGAGGGTGGGAAAGGGGACGATGCGAGCGGCGGTGCAAGCGGGGCGGGTGGCTGATGGCTTCCACCGGGGTAAGGAAGACCGGGAGTGGGCGAGGGGCGACAATGGTGGCGGCGGCGGCGGTGGATGACGAAGATGGTGGGGGGGGAGATGAGGGAAGGTCGGGGTGGTCCGGGGTGCGAGAGATCCTCAAATACCCATGCACCAAAGGATAGCAGCTCACACGCGTTGGAATCGCTAATAGTGCATCCGGCACATCCCGGCCCCGACGTTCCCCCTCAGGCCTCCCCTTTCCCCAGGCGCCACAACCCCGCTCCCACCCCCGCCCCACCTGCACCATATCCAGCAGTGCCGCTAGCACCCCGTCTCTAGCCGCCCCCGCCATGTACAGGGAGGGGGCCACACCGTCCGCCCACTCCACACCGAGCAGACCAGGCTCCTCAGCGAAACGGAGGAGAGCCGACACGCTCCTGCGGGAACAGCAGCACACACCCCAACAACAACAACCCCATTACCATCACCAGCAGCAGCGGCCATGCAAGATAAGACAAGACAAGAAACGCCGGGACGGCGGCAGTGGAGACTGAGTTCTGACGGGATAGGAAAGGAGGGAGAGGCGGAAAAGGGAAGATGATCAAATCGGGGTAGGCGGCCCGAAAGCGTGTGTGTGTTTTCCCTCCTCTCACCCCAGCAGCCGGCGCTCCTCCACGTCGTACGTCGTGGCGTCGCGTTCCAGCAGCCATGACCGCGTTATCGCCAGACGTCGCGGTGCCGTATGCGCGCCAGGACTGTACGACAACGAGGCCGCTGCTGCCGCCGCCGCCTGCTGCTGTGCCGTCGGGTCCAGGGAGGCCGGAGGTCGGCAGCGGACCTGCATTGCGGGCTCCAGGAAGGCCGCAAGCGGCGGCTGCGCGTCGTACCTGCCACAGGACACCCATATCATCGTGCGCGCAGCGTCAGCATTGTCGTATAGTGTCGTACAGCAGGACAGGTAACAGGGCAGCGGCAGTGCCCTGCTCCATTCTCGCACCCACTTGCCCAGGCCCATGACAGGCAAGTCCCGCCTCACCAGCCCCAACCCACCGGGCCTTTTCGTTCCAGCCCCAGCGGGCCAATCCCTCCCCTCCCCTCCCCTCCCCTTCACCCTCACCTGGTACATAGCCGGGCCACCTCCCACTCCGCCACGGGCGCCTCCCCGGGTGCGCTCAGCGCCTGCCTCTCACCACGTGCCACCGCCTCAAGTAGGGCTGAGGGACTTGAGCCGCTGGCGTGGTCAGCTGGGAGCGGGTGTGAGTGTGTGAGTGTGTGAGTGTGTGGGTGTGTGGGTGTGTGAGTGTATGAGTGTGAGATTGTGTGCGTGTGGGTGAGTGCCTCCCCGCGCAAGGAAGGCGCCCGGGTATGAGGGAGTGATCCCTAGGACAGCGCTACCGCCGCGGAGAGGCGGGTGAGGGAGTGCGCGCGTGTTTGATAGACACTGGCGGGGTACGCGCGGGTGGGATTTAAAGGAGAGCAACCGGAGGTGAGAGCACCGGAGGTTGCGGACCCACGGAAACTCTCAGACACAACTGGCTCCCCCCTCTCTCCAACAACCCGTGCTACCCCCGCATTGGGAGTCCCGTGGGGCAGTCTCCCCTCCGCCACCGTTCATGGCTTCTACCCCTGTGTGGGCCCCTGCAGGTCACACCGCTTCGAGCTGCCAGGCCCCTACATCCATCCCCAAACAATTCCATTGGCCCCTCCCTCCTTCCCCTTCCCACATCCCCCCAGCACCCACACACGCCCCAGCCGCGCCGCCACCCACCTACGATATTCAGACCCAGCCGCTTCTGCGCCGTGGCTGCCATGTGCCCCAGCACCACGTCCCGCTGCCGGCACGCCAGCAGGCGGGGAGCCCGACTGGTGCGACCGAACACGGCAAAGGGGCCCTCGGGGGTGGGTGCCAGGCCGTAGGAGGAGGTGGTGGACAGGCCGCCGCCACCCGCACCCCCCACCCCTCCTCCGTCCATGTTGCTGTGAAGGGGCTCCGGAACCAGGGGCGCGAAGGCCACGGAGCTCATGAGGCAGTAGTCCAGGCGCCACGTGGGGCAGCCTGATGGCGCGGGAGCATGTGTGTGGGGAGGGGGGTTCAGCTTCCTGACACTCCTGCCCTTAGCGGTATTTCGAGAGCGGCGGACCGCATGCAGTGGACGCCGTGCTACGGCCCTGCGGAGCCACGACACCAGGTGGGGAGTATCATAGTTCTTGTCCTTAATACTTTTATTTTGATCTCCATCTTCTCCATCGTCCCCACCCCTCCGGTCGCTCTGAGAGAACTAATTTTTTTCCGCCACATCCCGCGAGTCCGTTGGCCGTTGGCGGTTCACCGTTGTAGTAACTTAACCAGTACCCATATACATGTATATATTAGTAGCCATATGTATCACCTCCTCACCCTCCATGTCCACCAGCTCCAGGCCGTACCCCGTGACCCTCAGCGTGGTGGGTCGCCAGTGCCCCCCCGACCACTCGTACCCGGGGAAGTGGTCTGGGGAGCTGCGGGAAAACACAGCAGGGCAGTGCGGTGTGTTGTGGGTCACCCCTTACGCAAACTTACTGTGCTGCAGAGCGGTGGTCCAGGACCGCAGCGTGTTAACTAGCAGGAAACGGAACGTAGCCCCGAAGGTGGAGGTGGAGATACAGGTGGAGATGGAGGTGGAGGTGGGGATAAAACGCGATCGGGTTCTGGCCGTGCATACAGCAAGAGAGTGATGCATGCAAGCCAGGGGTAAAAACCGACCCAACAAGACAGGCGCATGCGGGGTGGCGGGGAAAGCGGGAAGGCGGATCACCATCAGATAGCTGTCGCGCCGCCGAACAGCTCCCCATCAGACATCTGAACACCTCTCCCAGCAGCAACTGAATCCCAACCGAATCCCAGGAACTGAATCCCGACAACTAAATCCCAACTGAATCCCAACTGAATCCGAACGCCCCACAATGGAGATGAGGCGTGCGAAACCCAGCGGGGCGCAGCCGCAGTGATGGCGATTGCAGTGGGTGCACCCTCCTAAGCCCCACCCTCCGCTCTCCCCCCTCAGGCCCCCCGTTCACCCTATCAGTCGTGGGGCGGATCCACATCTCCCCCGCAGGTGGCCGGACGCAACCGAATGGAACAAGTCCGTGAGCAGGCGGGCGCGGTGGCTGCAGCTGAACTTGATGGGCTTGAACTTGCTCTGAAGGGTCCGCGGGGAGGGCAGGATTGGGGGTTCAAGGGCGGGGCCCGGTGAGGGTTCGTGGGGGCGGCGGGAAGCGCATCAGAGCGCGCGCGGAATAGAGGGCGGCTCGAATGGGGTAGGGTGAGGGATCGGTGAAAAAAGGGTTCGGGGCCAGCGGGGAGGGCTGATGCGGATATTGTGTGTATGTGTGTGTGTGTGTTTTACACGTTGAGTTGCGTTACCCTTCGAAAGTGTAAGTTATTGAGTTAGATAGTAACACTGCAGGACGAAAGGAAAGAGGGACGGTGGGGGATGGAGGCAAGGTAGGTTTCGGGCGGCGATCAGGTGTGGCTGAGTATGTATTGAAAGTTGAGAAGCTTTGGACAAAGAGGCACGGAATGCTGGAAACAGCCCTGCGGGTAAGCATTTACCGGGGTAAGCAGGAAGAATTGTTAGGGGGCCTGCACTGCTGCTGCTGATTTGCTGACGTAAGATTGAGGCGTGAAGGCGCGGCATTCACGTGGCAGCTGCAGGGCCGTGGGTTTCAAAACGGGTGAAGGCGGAGGAGCCGGTGATCAGCGCGGGTTCAGTTTATCCGCGCTGGGACGGCCCGCACCTTTTTGTCCTGCCTTGCGCAGATTGTGAACTCGCCCTCTGCCTCGTTGCCAGTCCCGATGGAAATGCTTTCAATGTCGGAGTCCCCCGAAAAAGCGTAGGTGTTTGTGATAGCCATTCCGCTTTCAGGGTTCTGTGTGACAACGGCATCCGGCGTGATGCACAAGATCCGCCGATATTTCCCTCTCCAGCTATGCTTCGTAACAACATATCGGGCGAGACAGTTAGCAGGCTTTTGCTGTGGCGCGGAGTGCCAGTTTAGTAGGTCCATCCTAACGAGCGAGCCTCCTACTTCCGAGACCCCTACTGAACCAAAAATCTTTTTCCTACTTCATCTGTTGCTATGCCACTGTCCAAGGTGCTTTACCGATTGTAATTTTCTTTGAGCAGCTAACTTGCCCAACGGTTGAGATGTTTATATACGAAGTTATTACATCTCAGTAGGAAGCTTGACTCATTTCGCATACGTGTGCCACTTGTACATGATCTACAGGGATTGCGCCTTTCCCTTCATCAACCGCCTGAGAAGTGCCGTACCGTAACTGCCACCCAACGCTACCCAAGTCTCCAACCCTACACCTCAGTTCCATAGCACCGTGCAGGCAAGATAAACGAGAATGAAATAACACAGCCAACATCGTTCTCAACCTATGTCCAGTATCGCTCGAGCCGAAACGACGACACCTCAAGCCTGCAGCTGCGCAACCTCACGCGTCTGCAGCAGCTGCGGCTTCGCAATGATAGCGTCAATAAGGCCATACTCAATGGCCTCTTGCGGCGACATGAAGAAATCGCGATCGGTGTCCTTCGTTATGGTCTCCATCGACTGGCCTGAGAACTGAGCCTGGAATTAGGAAAAAATACAGCGCATAGCATTACCATATTGCGCGAGTTTCTCATATAATAGTTCCAATAAGCCCAGTTCAACCTTAAGTCTGGGCCGAATCTCCCTAGCACGCCACATCGTACCAACTACATAATCTGTGCATCCTCGGTTTCCCGCCCCTCCCTCCACCGTATAACCCTCTCCCACACGCCGCATGCCCTCCAGTTGTCTCAATTGGAACTCGGACATCGACGTCCTATGCTACACAATAGGAGCAAGCTCATCCTTACGGCCGAACCTCAGTCAAGCCCAACCCCGCTCTACTAATTTGTGTGTAAGCCCCACCCATTCCTGACCTCGGCAGCCCGCATGCACTCACCAAGTAGCCGTTGAGCGTTAGCTTGTGGTGCAGAATCTCGTTGGCCTGGATCTCAATATCTGTGGCCTGGCCCTGGGCGCCACCCAGCGGCTGGTGAATCATGATGCGGCTGTTGGGCAGGCTGTAGCGCTTGCCTTGCTGGCCCGAGGTCAGGATGAAGGCACCCATGGAGGCGGCCATGCCGATGCAGCAGGTGCTGACATCGGGGCGGATGTGGCGCATTGTATCGAACACCGCCATGCCTGCAGAAGGGGAAGACGCGGGGAACGGAAATTAGAGGACGCAGCAGCGATCGAAGAAAGGGAGGACGGGAAGTGAGGGGAGCGAGACCAACAACAAACGATGGAAAGCAGATGACCAGATACTGACAGAAAGATACTGCAGGAATATTTGTAATTAAACGGAAAGAGGGAAGAGCAGTACGGGACGCGAAGCGCATCCACACCGGCACTGGAGACCCTGGGATGCGGATGAGCAGTGATGACGTTAGTTCGGCCGGTAGGGGGGACGGAAACGCTGGGGAGGGCGGACTAACGGGGTAAGACGGGAAGGGCTGTTTAGGTGGCTGTGACTGAGAGCGAACGCAGAACCCCTGTCCCCACCTGGTAACAATCGGAGGGAAGAGACGGCCGACGGGAATCCCAATACCATCCACGGCCCCTTCGTCCTGGCAGTAGCAACCCACTGCGCCGCGGCCCGCTTTGCAGGACCCTACCGTGACGCGCTGACGACTAGAGAAATCCCTTACCTGCTGTAACGGAGCCACCCGGCGAGTTGACGTACATGGTGATGTCCCGCTTGGGGTCCACGGAGTCCAGGTACAACAACTGAGCCACCAGCAGGTTGGCCATATCGTCATCCACTGCACCGCCCAGGCGCACGATACGCTGCAGGGACCAAAGCAACAAAACCAACCCACGACAGTTGAGCGCCTAGGGCTCTAAGACGGTGCGAAGGCGTTCACCTTCTGTGTAGCAGGTGGAGTGTGTGAAGCGCAGGAAGGGCAGGATAGGGTGGTCTGTGGCAAGGCTCGAGTCCCCCAGGGCTGAAAGAGTCGTACCTGCTGGAACAGTTGCGACACGACGCCCTGGAAGCGCTCAATCACTAGCGGGTTAGGCGGAGGTGGACCCTGGCAGATAACAGGGGGATGCGGGTCGCGCGATGATACCGCAAGCCTGCAACCATGGGATGTGAGGACCGAACCACAGCGCCAGGTTACCATGTTGTGCCTGGACGAAGCATTCCTATGTGCGTTACGGTGTGAAGTGCGCAATGAAGGGGCAAATGGTAGTGCAAGACGCCGCCCTAGTAGTAGGACGTGGTGCAGTTGGCCGTCAGGATTGGGCAGCAAGATCAGCCATTGTTTAAGCCAGATCATTTGTAGTATTCACAGGCCAGTTGTAACTTACTTCACCTCCGACGATGGGACCCAAAGCTGAGCCCTTGGCACCGTCGCCCGCCGGCTACGTGTTGTCCGCGCCGATGCAGCCGCGGAGCACTTGCTTTGGAAAACCAGCTGAGACATTCTCAACAAGGCGTCAAGCAAGTTGCTGGTAGCGAAGGCCAAGTATAGTCGACTCTCACCCACACGGCGTATCCCCTCACCGGTATGGTCAGGCCTATACTAATACCCGACGGGAATATTGTGTTTCCGTAACACTGCACACCGAACCCAGCAATCGAGAAAGGCAAGCTGGCGGAAAATCGTACTGAACTAAATCGTGCATATTGGAAAGTTTCCAGCACGCATGTGCAGTCTCTTGTAAATCTTCAATAATATTCGAATAAAACGATAAGGCGAAGTGCTGCTTGTAAGGCAAACCAAGGCGAAATCCTTTCCCAAAGGACGTGCTCCTTCTGCAAGACGTTGTGTTTTTGTCTTGTTTCACGCCACTGTAGTGTCTACTCCTCTGTTATTTAGGATTATAGAACTGTCGGTGTTAGCAAGGTAGCCGTAAGAGCTGACGGCTTCAGCTTGACGCCGGACCCATGGAGAAGCATCACTTGCTCCGTCGTGACCCTAACTGGCACCCAAACGGTTGTAACCTATGCGGTCAGGTGCGTAGAACGGAACTGTTTCACGAGAGGCGAGCAGCTGGAAACCAATCTGAACGCTATGCCGTCCGCGCAGCTCGGTCACCAAGCGGCGAATTGCCCGAATGGAACCATCAACTGGAGGCAGATCTATGGCGATGAGGCATTTATCATGCGGCAGCCCATATATTACTCCGACATCCAAGAACGCATACAGTTAAAGGAAGACGGTATGAAGGACCTTGAAGCAAGAGCACAAGCATACGCCAAGGTGCGTCTTTCCCAAGGAGTGTGCTAGGATAAGGGGTGGTGCGCGACAGCAGGGCTTGGTGGGCCCAGCACCGGGGGGGCTAGGGGTCCAGGGAAGAGGGGGATCAGGTCAGTCGCACGAATAGCGCCGCCAAGCTGGCATGTTTGACCATTCGGGTGACAGGGGATTCCCTACGGCTTTACCGCTTTTGTCCACCACTTGCAGACCAAGGCAGAGGAGCTGGGCCTCAACTGGGCTGAGATCATGGCGAGGGCTGAGGAGTTGCGCAACAAGGACCCTTCGGAGGTCATTCCCAAAGTGGCGGCAGCGGCAGGTGCGGCGCAGGGTTCTGGGGTACGGTAGAGGCAGGACACAGGAGGGGCGTGCAGCCTGGGCGAGGAGGGAGCTGGGGGTGGCGGGGCGGGGCAGGGACGATGGCAGGGTAAAGGGGGCTGGGATTGCTGGGCCCAATGATTTAGGTGGGATCCGTGGCGTTGCAGGCATGGTAGGGGGGGTATAGACATACGTGGCAAGGTGTGGTACGGCCAGAGGTGCCCCGGGGGGTTGTTCAGGCGGTTACTGTGTTGCGAGGTAACCCGTTTCAGGCCCGTTGTGGATCAAGGGTTATGCGAGACTGGGGGGCCTGCAGAGTCAGGCTTCCATGCCAGTTTGCGTTCTACATTTCCTCAACCCCCTTTTCCCTCTGGATGTAACATCCCTTTTCCTTTGCCGCAGGCGACGAGCTTCCGCCCGGCTGGGCCGTGGCGACGGACCCCAACGGCCGACAGTACTTCTGGCACAAGAAGACACAGAAGGTGCAGTGGGAGCGGCCCACAGAGGACACCCCCATCAGCTGACGCCCGGAGAAAATGGGAGGAACGGAGATCGGCGAGGTGGCGCCGTGCAGGGAGGGTACAGATGCGGGGACCTGCCCTGGCGAGTGGCCCTGCCAGGTGGTGCCCTTCCTCTCGTTACGGGCCTCGACAGCCATTGGCCAGACCCCGGAGAACGTTTGTGGAGCGGACCGTTGCTGCATCAGCGGTGCACTGCTCCTCCTTTTTTGCATCTCCCAAGGTCCCCCTTGGGGTGCGGTGGGAGTCGGCACGCGCACAGGTCGTGGCATCTCGTCAAGCGTGTGGTTGCTGCTGCAAGTGCCAGCGTCGTTTGAAACAATATTTGGGACATTGGGCAATTGCCACTTTTGGGAGAGCAGCAGGGAGAGGAGGGGGAACTAACGGATTATGCGAGACGGGTGCTACTGTGGGCAGTGCCTGCTTTGCATACTCAGCACGAACGGTAGGAAATACGGGACGCCTAATGAATGGATACACCGACAAAGTTGACCGGGGCAGGGTCATGCAGACTTGCTCGTTGCTGTTGCAAAGCTGGTATACGTTTTAAAGTATGGACATAGCTTAACGGAATAATCCGCGTGGAGGCTCTGCTTTGACAATTGGATGCGCTGGATCTTCGAGACACTCGTGACTTTAGCATGGCTTTAGAGTACAACTCAATCCTGCGTCTTCATGACGGCCTGCATACTTCAGTTTTAACGGGCACCTTGTCACTTTGTAGATAGAGGACATCAGGGTAATGTGACGACGCGCATGTACAGGAAGGACGGACAGACGACCTGCAAGCGCTTGCTGACCATGGGGCCTAAGACACGATCATGCGTGTTTTACAGGGAAGCTCAGGAAGTGGGCACCGGTATGTTGCGTCCTGTGCCCTTTGTGTGCTGGGGCACTGAGCACTGCATGTGCAATTTGGATGCTCATCGGATGCTAAGTGTTTACGTGCCAGGTCTCCAGGTCTCCTTCGCAAGAGGCGCCGGACAGCCGCGAGTAGAGAAGCCGGAGTGCCACCGCGTTACTAGGTTGAGAACCGTATTTGGGCTACTTGCCTGGAGGTGGCGACCCAGTTAGTCCCCGGAGAGGTTACCCCACTGCGGGCTAACGACCCATACCCACGTCGCAGAGATTGGTTGTCGGTTACCGGGTGGTGCATCCAGGAGGGATGAGGCATTATGCCAGACGCAACATTTTCTCACCCCACAACAACACTGTCCAGCAGCTACCAGCACTAAAGCCCTAGCCGACCTCTGTTCAACGTGTTTCAACTTCGGACCCGTGTCCGGTATTATAATCCTTCTTCCTACGACACGTCTCAAGCCGTTAACCACCGGGCCACGTGCAATCCATGTCCTTTGCAATTGGCTTACCTGCAACCCTGCCATGCCGCCAGGCCCTGGGCAGTGCATCTACAGTGTGTCCACCTCACCAGTGTACTACCCGGGTGCTTCAGCCGAGCTGCCCGAACAGCTCCCTACCTCATCCCACGTTGATCTTTGGTCCAAACAAAATGTGAGGACAGGACTCTGTCCTCACAGCCGCTGCCGCCAGTTGCACGATAAGCAGCTAGCGCGGCTAGCCGTTCGGTTCTCAGCGTAGCATCAGCCGCTTCTGAACGCACGAAGGACCGGAACGCCTGCTTCGTGAGCGCCTTGCGCCTTGCGTCGTCGGTGAACTCGGACCACAGGTCCATGAGGTGCATGTTATAGTCGTCTAGCTGCGCCATCTCCTCCGTGGTGAAGTGGAGGCCGTCAGTGCGCGCCACCAGCACCGATCCCAAGCCTTGGACCTGCACACGTATCGGTGCAAAACCTTTTGCCCGGTGCGGTAATGTCGAAGGGGAGGTGGGACAGAGAGAGGGGCGGTCAGGAAGGGGATTGGCTCACAGGTGGCGGCAACAGAGTCGAGGGCCAGCCAGGCATACAAGCTGACAATCATCTCGCAAACCGAAGGGGTCAGGGCAACCTGTCAGGGCAACCATCCAGACAGCTGCAGCAGCGGTATATCCACCCACCCACAACCAAACGAACACACTAGCTGGAGCAGCAACGGGTGAGCTAAGGCGTGCGCCTTGAAACAAGCTGCCTGGCTGATAAGCGCGTCGGCGACATCGCCGCCTTGATGTAAATAAAACTTCAGGTGCCCACCCGGAGAGGACTGTAACAGAATTACCATGGCACCAAGGTAGCGCGTAAGATGCGTGGCGGAAGTCCTGGGGCTGGCACGCGGACAACTTTACCAAAGGAAGCAGTACAGTTGCATGTGTGTATTCCGCTCTCACCTGATACCGGGTCGACCAGGAGGTACACAGCTATGCTGCGACCCCCCGGTACTGGTTCTGACCACGGTGTGAGCTCCAGTAGCGCCAGTGGCAGACCCAACATCGTCGCCACCTCGCACCGCTGCCAGCCTGCCGGCAGGTTGCCGGTTGCCGCCGCGGTCCGCAGGCCCCTGACGACCTGCGCTGTACCATTACTCTGGTATGCAAATACGTCGGTGCAGGCCGGAAGTATAACAGAGCCGTGCAAATATACAGCAGCTACCGTTCCTGGAGGCAGCTCAGTCAGGTTGTTGGGCCAGGCCCACACTCCGCCGGGCCAGCCCGCCACAGCTGCGGGCGGACTGAGCAGTCGTACGGGCAGGCGACCGTTGTCCTTCATGGGACCCAGCACTGTCCCGATGGCCCCATTGAGCTCTTGCACGGAGGAGAGGCCGCCCAGTCGCACCACGCTGCCGACTGGCGGCAGCCGGGTGCCCGTGGCCTGAGGGGCAGACACAGAGGTTCGTGTAGGTTTTACATGATGATGGTGGCTGGCCGAGTACGACACGGGCGCCCTCTCTTACCTCCCTGGATCCGCTAAGGTCGTTCATCCGGGGCAGCAGCAAACGGCCTAACGGTCGATCTGGGGCTAGCTCGGCCCGTTAGTCTGCCGCGGTTCGGGCTCGAACCCCGCCGTGTGCAGCACGGGACGTTGCAGGGACTAGCCTTGGGGGGCCGGTGTCCAAACAACTCGCGCGATAATGTGAAGTGTGAAGGGTGGGACGGTGGGAATGGGCGCGGGGAACGCAAACACTAATGTGTAAGAAGCGTGCTGGCCAGTGCGCGCAGTTGCGTCAAAGGCCAAAGGCTGGCTGCGAACGTTGAGTGCACCGAGACGTTCGTACTGGCTCGAATAAGCTGATATGGAGCATAACCTTGAACGCCTTGAGCATTAACAGCTCGAACCCTTCCGTTAGAGAATCGTTGAGCGCATGTTGTAACCCGTGCTTAACCCGTGCCAACCCGTGTTGCATGACTTCCTGCTCGATACAGTTAAAGCCTTTCAAATCATTTCGACTCGATTATGGGGAAGTATGCTAATGGGATCAATTTGAGACGCATTAGCCGGGCCCTGATTGCTATCATTGAAAAGGCTGAACTGCTGGGCCCCATGCAGCGGCTGCTGTTACATCTTTGGCCTCCATACCATAATCTCAAAGAGGAGCATGTGCTGTGCGCACTGCCAATCATGGCTGATCGCCAGGCAGCTGCTGCGAAGTATGTCCCTTTGGCAGTGCGCAGCTCCGCACCTGCGATTGATGTGTGCCGTACATAGTTGGTGACACACCCCTGTCCCGGCAGTGAAACTTTCGGTATTGACATACGAGGATATCCATGACAGTAGACGAACACCTACCCTGTTAAGTCTACACGGAAATATTGCAGGTGAACGTAGAGTATGACCTGCCATGGCTGCGACTAAAAGCGAAACTTATGATGTGCCCTTAAGGATTCGTGAACAATAGAAGATAGGTACAGCAAGTTATATAGGTGGTTGCCAATTGTAAAAAACTTAGGTAGTGAAGCCAGTGTAAGATGCCAAAGCGCACGACTCTTACTTTCACAAGCGAGGACGGACCCCGCGTTGACTCAACCAGGCTTTATGTGTACCATTGCAAGTATTCAGGGCGTCATGCTTTTACGATAGGTATGCCCGCACATCTAGCTTGTACTACCGCAGCGGCGTGACCCTGCCGTCCCAACAGCACACCAACAAACGCAGATGTGGACTTGAGGAAAATGCCACGGCGCCGAACGGACGGCGCGTATGTCGTCAACACGGACGAGCACACGGTGAAGCTCTACACCACCGACGGGGGTGTGAAATTCATCAAGCGGTGAGCGAACACTGTCTCCGATAGGACATCAGCGGCCCGGGAAGCTAATACCGGACTCTAGTCCAATGCCCTACATGTCCCCACTCGCCGGGCGTGTGCAGTCCGGCGGTCGAGCAGTTGAGGCGTGCCTCCGGCGGGAGGTGATCATGGCTCGCCGCCTAATGACATTCGGCCTCTCCCTCCCTTTCCCCCCCCCCTCCCTCGCAGTCAGAACGGCACCGTGGAAAAGCAGTACCGTCTGAACCTGGGCCAGCTGCCCATCGCCTACAAGAGCGACCTCAACAGCAACCTACTATACATCATGGACGGGGCAGTCACCACCTACAGCAACCAGAACGCACGCAGGGCGGTGAGCCTCAACACAACGCGTCTAATGATGTCGATCACTGGGGAAAGGGGCTCTCGCGTGTCGCTAGGTGTGCCTCCCCCAGCATGGGTGGCCTTCAGCGTCTTCACATGCTCCCTAGAGTTCCCTCATGGCCGTGGCCGTTGGTGTCTGGAGAGCAGCAGCGAACAGTGAAAGCACCGCGGCCCTTGCAGGAACCCTCGGAGGTCCTCTTGCTGGTTCCGCTTTAAAACTCAGACCCCTACTCCAAGCACCGTCATTCCGGACCACCTTGCTGGTCCTCTTTCTCTACCTTCCTTCGTCCGTCCGTTCTTCCCTTTCAGGGCCGGCTGCTCGTACCCCCTTGCATCAGCCGCTCCGAGCGAAGTGGGCTAGTGGAGATGAGGTTGGAGCTGGAGGACCGGTCACACCGCTGCACACTATCTCGGGTCACCGCTGACGTGGTGCGGGTGCACGTAACGGGCCTTATGGCCAACGATGCGGTACACGAGGAACTGTTCGACCTATTCGCCAAGGTGAGTGCGTCGGATGCAATGAAGGGGCAAGAGCACGCTTGCATAGGTCGACGGGTATGAAGTGGTGTACAAGCAGGAAACATGACACCGGTGCGGATGGAGGGGACGCCCTTACTCCTGTCTACTATCCAGCGCACATTGCCTTCCCGATCCTCTCCCCTCTGCTGTGCCGCCTTTTCCGCTACTCTTGCCACAGGTTCTCAACGTACGGCTCTCTCAGCTTGATATTCGGAGGGCGAAGAGCAGCCGCAACCGCATCATGACCGTGGAGTCACTCACCCCGGAGCAGGTAGGGGCCAGGGGGTTCAAAGCGGGAAGTTGCTTTGAGGGGGGTTCCTGACAGACCCATGGGACTGATGAGGTTGTCGCCTCCGCTGAGCCAAGTGCCCTGTCCAATTCTCAACATGCAGATCTACGAGCGGTTACGTGAGGCGCTCAAGAAACAAGCCACGGAGCGGGCGGAGAAGCGGCAGCGGCGGCACATGTAATTTTGGCAGGGGTTATGGCAGTAGTGACGCTTGTGGGTTGGATTGGGAGCAATAGATGGCAGATACAGATACACACCTAAGAAGGGATGTGAAGTATGTGTACATAAGGCAGTTCGTCATGTTGTTTTGGTTGGTTTTCATCGTTTACTTGTTTCAGGTGCTGAGGCTGATGGTGCACGTTTTAACCAGTGACGTGTGTAAATATCCACAATCTTTACTAATTCCCAGCAGTGAACGTTGAGTCAGTGTAGTAAGGGTTGAGTCACAGGTTTTGGTAAAAATGATTAGATTACATAGTCATACTGGATGTTGGATTTACGAATAGCTACCAAACATAACAAAGTTCGGATCTGTTTCATGGTCAGAAGTCAACACATAAACCCTCAGTATATGCCTGCTATTCAACCTTGCCCGAAGCCACTTGCGCAGCAATAATAGCCATCACAAGTTCACTCTGTTCGCTAATTGTCAGTCGCAGCCCTGACTGGAAACCTGCCTTTTCAGACGCTTTCAGTCGGCACTTATCCTGCTTAGGAAACACACATCCAACATACGACCGTGGTATTTATGAGATACATAACATCATGGCAACCAACCAAGCCGGCCCGACGCAGGACTCGCAGTCATAAGTGGGGCCTGTTCCTGGAGCGTCAGCAACGGTGTCAGTACAAACAAACGAACACTCTATAGACAAGTCATCTCTCCATCGCTTTCCTTTCCCGTATCAACAGGACAAATGGACAAACACAATCAAAATTACAACTGTACAAGCTCGCTCGATCTTCCTGCAACAACGAACCACTGCTGGCGGGCAAAACTCTTTGCGTGACAGACAGCTCTCGTTAACAACCCGATTCGAAAGCGTAGCCAAACATAGTATGGCATCACTAAACATCAAGACTAGCTCATCACAGCACCATCCGCATCTCCAAGACCACACTCGCGTGGCCATTCATGCCCTCGCCACGTGCTCGGGCTTGAACCTCAGGGCAACAAAACCACCACATCCTGGATAACACCACCGCGCCCTTTGAAAACTCCCCATCGAAATAGCCCAAGCGCCCAGCCCCGTGACACGGCCACTCCGCAATCGCCCATATTCCTACGTAAGCATTAAGCATGCATCGATCCACCCGCAATCACGCACCCACAGCATGACCTACGCAGCCTCCCACGCGCTGATCCGCTTTACGCAGCCTGGTAGGGAATGGACACACCGGGCGCGTCCTTCTTCAGGTACTGCTGCGCCTGGCTGGCCAGCACGATTTGCTGGAACTCATCGCCATCAATATTCTCCTTCTCGATCAGCACAGCGGCCACCTTGTGCAGGATGTCAATGTTGGACACCACCAGGTCCTTCGCGCGGCGGTAAGCCCGCTCCACCAGCTCCTTCACCTCGTTATCAATCTCGTCAGCGGTCGCCTACATAGCACAGTCAACGCAGCGAAAGCGATCAGGATTACTTTATGTAGTAGAGATGCGTATGGATGGTCGGGGCGCATCCACCACAGGCCATCGGCACAGGACGCGTTTGCGCATGAACCACCTTGCGTGGTGGACCGCTGGATGCCGATGTAGAAGTGGACACATACAAACGGATGCAGCCGCATGATGCGCGTGGCTGCATCGTTGCTATATAAACTCGCATAGCACGGCAATCTATACAGCCGCTTGTGAACCCGGCCTCCAACCCTATGGACCTTATAACACCATTGCACACCGCTATTTCTACCGCTCGTTCGCGTGCGCACCTGCGAGAAGTCCGCTGGCTGCGCCGCCGATGCGCCCAGGAACTGCGCGCCGCCGCTTGACGACCACGCCACCTGGCCCAGCTTCTTAGATAGGCCCAGCTGGGTCACCATCAGGCGAGCAATGCGGGTCACCTGCTGGAAGTCACCAGATGCACCTGCGAAAGGAGAAGGGAGGAATAGATAATAAAACATCAGCGTACAAAAATAATACCGCTAAATAGATGATTGTGGACTGCAACAGTGGACAACCCAACAGCCTGTCGTAATCCATGCCACCTCCCAGATGCCCATACCCAAATACGACCTATCGCAGCCCCAGCGCCACCCAACGCAACCCACCTGTAGTGATGTCGTCCTCGCCGAAGATGAGCTCCTCCGCAATGCGGCCGCCCAGCGCCACCGCCATCTGGTTCTCCAGATAGGTGCGGCTGTACAGACCGCTCTCGAGCCGCTCCTCGCTAGGTGCGAAGAACGTCAGACCGCCAGCAGCGCCACGAGGCACAATCGAGATCTTCGTAACCGGGTCGTACTCCGGCATCAGCGCGCCCACCAGCGCGTGACCGGCCTGGAACACAGCAAACCATTGCGGCAAGTTGCCAGTTTCTCAGTATTTCTCAGGACCTTTCTGTGCCCTGCGGCGGTACGTCTAGCACCTTTCCGGAAAACGTTGCCCGGCCCCAACTACCACCCCAGTCATCCCGCACCTCGTGGTAGGCCACCAGGCGCCGCTTCTTCTCGCTCATGACGGCACCCTTCTTCTCGGGGCCGGCAATGATGCGCTCAAGTGCGTCCGCAATTTCCTCCTTGCTGATCTCCTTCAGGTTGCGCCGGGCTGCCAGAATGGCGGCCTCGTTCATCAGGTTCTGAAGATCAGCGCCTGCGTGGCCCCGGGCAACAATATCACTCGTGAGCTAGCGTGACCCGTCTTCTCCCGCGAGACATAGAACACAATTCTTTCATAGGAATTTTATCCTAGCTTACTTGGCTTGCAACATCCCCTTCGTGGAGAGCTTATGAAAGCAGCTAGGCACAGATCAAACTTGTGGCTGGAAAAAAGACTATCCTCACCGGTGAAACCCGGAGTACGACGGGCGATCTTCTCCAGGTCGACGTCCTTGCCCAGTGCCTTGCCGCGAGAGTGCACCTTGAGAATGGCCACACGGCCCTGGACGTCGGGCCGGTCCACCGTGACCTGCGAGCGAAGGGTGTGGAAAACGCAATGAGCACAGAAACGTTCGGTCTCAGACGATCAGACAGTTAATCATGTCCAAACAATAGTCGACGCTTGCAGACCGAAGATTGCCCCATACAAGTATATTCAGGCTCCAGTACGACTGCAGATAACTCATGCCAAGATAGTGAAAACCATACGCACTCGTCTCCGAACTCACCTGGCGGTCGAAGCGGCCTGGACGCAGCAGCGCCTGATCAAGCACGTCGGGTCGGTTGGTGGCGGCCAGCACAATAACACCCGTGTTGCCCTCAAAGCCGTCCATTTCCGTCAGAAGCTGGTTAATGGTCTGCTCGCGCTCATCATTGCCGCCACCCATGCCGGCGCCACGCTGGCGACCCACAGCATCAATCTCATCAATGAAGATGATGCAGGGTGCCTTGGCCTTGGCCTGTGGCAAGGGCAGGTGTAGGGCAAATAGCAGGCAATGAGTCCGTATGCTCGCGACAGCGTGTCCTAGCGACATACGCAAGTAGATTGAGATTGTCACAGTGAACCCCGATCGGGTCGAGTGCAGCATTCTAAAGAACAGCAAACTGCACTACCAACAGGCCGAAGCCATGGACGTAAACCTCCGCATAATGAATACGAGTACGGATCAGTGAACTCTCCAAAGGGGCCCGTGCGGGATGCTGGTTTTAAAGGTGCTACCCAGCCACACGGCATCTGCCGCTGCGCTTACCTTTTCGAACAGATCACGCACACGCGATGCACCGACACCCACGAAGACCTCCACGAACTCCGAGGCAGCGCAGGAGAAGAAGGGCACACCGGCCTCACCGGCCACGGCCTTAGCCAGCAGAGTCTTACCCGTGCCGGGGGGACCCACCTGTGCGGCGGTGCAGGGGATTACGGACAAGGTAAACTTCGATAGAACTGGATCAACACATGTCCAGTTGCACGTAGAGCTAGTTCGTATCGACTCTACGGTGGCCCGGAACGCAGCAGAGAGACCACCAGACACAATCCGGTCCAAGGAGTCGTACTTCTATACTACTCCGAGGTTGAGGCCTTGAGCCAACGGGTTTATTTGGATGTCGCTGAAACCCCAACCCGAAATGCCACCGATAACGACATGCATGCCATTGATAACGAATAAAAAACGATGACCTCGTGCGCACAGCAAAATGGAATAGACAGCTGGGACTCACCAGAAGACAGCCCTTCGGGATCTTAGCTCCCAGGGCCGTGTACTTGTCAGGATTCTTCAGGAAGTCAACAACCTCCTGCAGCTCCAGCTTAGCACCGTCGCAGCCCTGATATGTCAAGAGGAGCACGAAATCCAGTTAGGTCAGTGCAGGGTCGTATACGTTTTCAAAAACCCAGGCCGTCGTGGAAGAATGCCCATGAACCAATCAAATACGAAATCAGCCGTACTTACACGATGTAGAAACTCGAAAATCTGGTGAACTCAAGACGGAGACCTAGGAGCCAATAAGTCAAATCTTCCAGGGGACAGAAAAGCCCTAATCCGTGCACAGTCGTGCAAATGCAAATTTGTCAGGTATGCCTTGGTAGCTCCCCGTGCGAGGTGCCATTTGACGACATACATACAATATTACCATCTTGTGCACGGAAAATGAGAGCAATTCAACACAAGAGTGCCATAGGAATCGACGCGGCAGATAATGGCATCTTCGCTAAATCGCTAGAGCCACTTACCGCAACATCATCGAAGACCACACCCGTCTCCGGCACCTCCTGGAACTTGCTCTTCGAGCGGCCAAAGTCCATGGCGCCGCCCATAGGGCCCATGGGACCGCCAGCACCGCCGTTCTGGCTGCGGCGGAAGAGGAAGAACAGGCCACCGAAGGCAATGAGCGGGAAGAGGATGTTGCCCAGCAGCGCCACATAGTTGCCCTGCTGGTCGCCCTCCGACACCGAAATATCAACTCCATTCTTGGCGAGGATGTCAACCAGGTCGGGGTCATTTGGCAGCACAACGGTAGCACGGCGCCCGTCAACTGCCGTCAGCTGTAGCTGGGAGCCGTCCTTCGAGAAGCGCACGCGCTCCACCTTGCCCGCCTCCACGGCGTTGACGAAATCCGAGTAGCGCCACTGGTTGCCCTCAGGGAGCTGGTACTCCGAGCGCACCTCCGGGGCGGTCAGCGGCGCGGATGCACCAAACTGCACGGACTGCGGAGCCTGGTTTATGGTGGTGGTGTTCGTCTCTGGCGGAGGAGCGAAAACGTCGGCTGCGGATGCCACGCCAGTCGTCGACAACGACAGCAGCGATGCAAGGGCAGCCTTTGGTAGCTTTGCCACCAACTCCGAGGCGAGGTTTTCGGTCTGTTGGATTGGTGGGAGAAGACGCGTTACTCAAGTTATAGCCAAGCGCGCATAAGCGTATGTGGTCCTATCGACAAATCCGCGCAAAAACAACAAACACACCAGGCACGCATAATAAAAACTATCTTCGTTTATTACGCTTTCAGATGGGTAGCTCCATAGGTTAGGGTAGGGCGCAAACCAAGCATGAGAAGATCGGGGTGGAGCATTATCGCGGATCTCAGCCAGCGCTCACAATCACAAACAAAAATAGGTAAGCGTGGACTTCAGTAAATGTCCGAGATCGGATTGGAAGCTAACTATACTTACAAGCTGCTTGGCGGAGAACTTCGCGGTAACACGGCTAGGCCGTCTAGGGACACCCAGGAGCTGGGAGCGAAGCGCCTCAGTGTTCCGCGCAAATGCACGACGACCAGCCTTGGTGGCCAGAGCCTCCGGACGAGTAGCGAAAGACATGACTGGGGTTCGGACAAGTTGGTATCAAACGATATGTTATACAGCTATATCACTTTACAATTGACACCAATGCAACACCTGACTACAGATCTTGTATCACATCCAAATGCCTGCCCGAGGCTTTATGGCGCATGGTTGCGTCAACTGAGTGGCCCAAAGGAGATGTACGGCTTCTGGTTGAGCGTGTGCTGGCTAAAACAAGGATGAAGCTATCCAACACTTTGCAGTGGTGAAGAGGCACAAGTTCATTCTACACTACATATTCCACGGAGTATATGCAACAGATTTCTTGGGCGTCCACCTGACAAACGATGTCTTCCACCATTACACCGCCATATTCGACACATGCTCTGACAGTACCTGAAAACTTGCTATTTGCGTTTCAAGGATATACGAAGACCTTCTGGTTACGAACGGAGCTCACCAAGCCAAAACCGGAGTTCACCCCGAGACCGTTCTCCCGGATACCCTCACTTCAAGCATGTCCACGCGATAGGCTAAACGAATGTCAATATACTTCATCCCAAATTTCCATCCTCCGAGCTTCAGACGCACTCGAACTACATCACTAACGCCGTAAGGCGCAGATACAAACACAGACACGAACATATTCCTCACTCCCTTCATCCAATCTGCGAAGCGCTCTGCGCAATCTCACTGCTCTCATCCACACTCGCAACCTCATTCATGCTCCATTCTCCGTCATTAGAATATAATACAGCCTCCAACTCGAACGCGCCAGTCATTACAGCTCCGCAGGGCCGCGCCCTAGTTGCCACCTCCTTGTGCGCCAGCATCCTTCTTCTTGCCCAAGTACTTGGCCACCACAGGTGTCAAAGCGACCGTGGGCGGGAACCGCACCGGCGACAGCGCCTTGTGCGCAGCATACGCCAGAGCAAAGGTGCCCACCTGCCAAACCCCGGGTTACACGCAACAGAAACATTAGAGCTCAAATCCAGGACCAACCTGGCACCGCATCATCACCTACGCGAGCCGTTCAAGCTCCTGCCTGGCCCATCACTGATTCACCTCCATAACCCAGTTCAGCGCAGCATGACCCGATCTCTCAGTTGTGCTGGTTGGGAACCTACGTATTTCATTATTAAACGTCCTAAAATAAAAAGAGGAAAGCTACTTGCTGGGTCACAAGGGTCATAAGCCGGCAAGGCACACAGTATGCGGCCCAGTCCCGCGCTGAGCACATGCCAGCCCCTAATGCAATGACTGTCAAGAAGCCGCTACCTCTTGCACAAGAGGAACACGTCCGGTCTGGATTCTCTAGTGCTATCCCTGCATACCACCTCCCCTAGCTGGGGCACTAGCTGATCCAACCACCTTGTCGTGCCCAGTGCTGTACGGCCTGCTCCGTATACAGGGCAACACCCGTTAGAGTGCAACATGCAAGGTAACAAGCCACTCGTCTTGGCCAATCTGCGTCTACCCAGCTGGAAGACCCCACCGAGATGCACCGCCGCCTCTGCCTACCTTCTCGCTCGTGTCGGATACCTGAATGCCGATCTTCGCCAGCAGACCAGCAACGTCCACACCTTTGTGGACACAAAAGGCGAACAGATTACAAGGGCGAGGTTACAAAGGCATCAAATCAATGTATGCACATTGGGACGCAGACGGAAGCGGGGCCCGCCGTGAAGCATGGCGAGGGACCTGCCCTGTCGCGCATCGATCTATTTCGCATCGGGTGCCACGACAAGTCCACCGAAGTTGGTACAACCCGTGACCTCTGGGAATGACACCCTGCCCAAATCCACTGACTGCTTGACTTGTCCTGAATGTGTCATCTGGGATGTATGTCTGTTTGTTAATGAAATGAGCCATGTGTAGGCAGTACACAGGCTGGCGAAATCCGATCTACGCGTGTGCGCGCGTGTGTGTATTTCGCCTGTGTCTCGGTGCCCCATCAGCCTATCCGCCAATCGGGCAGTGCACCAACCAGCGTCCCGTTGCGCCAACAGCGCCCCACCCACCCGCGTCCACAGCAAAGTAGCAGGCCGCGAAAGAGACGACCGCGAATGAAATTGACGTGATTAGGTATGCAGAGCCGTACTGGGTGAGAAGCTGCTTCGCCTGCTCCGTGCTACTTAGTTTGCCATCAGCGTTCTTTGAGGTAAATGCCTGTGGTGTGGAAAGATTAGCAGCGCTAGGAAGGGCATGGCTGCAGAGTCCAACCATGCGCAAACGGAAAGGTTGCACGACTGCAAGCCAAGGTTGCCTACCTTAAACAAGCCAGCCTCAAGTCCATATTTCTCTGTTGCGATTTCTGCCTCGGACTTCATTTCAACGTCGGGCTCCTACAGGCGCCTTGCGAGTTGGAGAATGTAGAAGACGACTGGTGAGCTACCAAACGACACAGCCTAGTCACTAACCTTTGTGGTAGGGGATGCCCGAGCTAGTTGCCATGTAGGCCGGGATGGTGCAAACGGCCTACGAGTAGGGTGCTAGGTGGTTGGCGCCGCAGCGACCCAAATAACAATTGAGGTCCCTTCCCAGCATGATGATTACCTCAACCCGTTTCGCTGACACCGGCGAACAATTGTGCTGCGGCGCGACAGCTGCATAGAAGTCTGCATTTTGCCACGTATGTTTTGGCTTCTAGAGGCTTTACAGGTAGCCAAATGCACACACTGGGGCCTATCCGCTTCGTATCTCAAGCACAATTAGACAACCGCAAAAATTACACAATGAATTATGATTTTTGGTGGCTTTTTGGCAGATTCCATTTTTGGTTTACGCGCCGTACGGCGCAGGCTGTCGCTTCTACCGGAAGTGCGAAACTTTTCACACCAGAGGTTAGCAAGTGTAATGAATAGGGGTAGGGCATTATTTAATCTCAACCTATAGTGGCGTTTGACATCACTGGCTCCCTCGCACATGGGCGATGGCCGCCGAGCAGGCAGGCACAGGCACTTCAGGCTTTGCCCCTGGACACCACCTGCTTGATGAGGCTCTTAGGGACTGGAGTATTTTATCCGCAGTCTTAAGCGGCACATCGGGGGATGCAAGCTTGCTCCTTTCACGGCGGCTTGGGTGCGCTCCAGATGCCGCACGCGCATTGCAGCTCACAGACAAGCTTCGTCTGTACCTCCACCTTCCCTTACCCTTGCGGTACGTGCCGAGAAATCTAAAACAACGTGTCTTCCTACCTCCAGTCCTGTCGTACCCTCGTTTCCGTACTTCTTAAATGCCTTTTCCCTGCTGCCCTGTCCTGCATCCGCAAACCAGATTGCTGCTCCATCATCACAGCATCATCTTGTCGGCGCCTTCACTACCGGACCTGGCCCAGCTGTTGGACCTCCCACCGCAGCAGCTGGCCCCTGCATTGGACGAGCTGGTCGCTGCAAATTCGGACGCCGTACAGGGCGCGGGCACAGACGCAGCGTGGCGGCAGCGCTGGAAGCCGGCAGCTGGAAGCCCCGCAGCTGCTCTGGCCGCCGGCGGTGGCGGTACTGGCTGCGGCTCTGTCAGCCCCGGCGAAACGCTCCTTCTGTTCCACACCAGCGGCTGGCTCTCCTACAACGCACGGCGCCGGGGACTGGCCGGGCCGCAGCGGCCGGATTCACACGAGCAGCAACAGCAACAGCAGCACACTCGGCTGCGGCGTTACGAGGATTACGGTCCCGGCGTTGCTCCTGACGGGGCGCCGCAGCCGGAAGTGCGGGGAGAGGAAAGAGCAGCGGCAGGCGCGGGTCGCTCAGAACCGGGGACTGGAGCGACAGGCGTTGGTTTCGGAGCCACAGCCGTAGTTGGGATGGAGGTCGAGGCTGGCTGCTTTGGGCTAGATGTTCACAAGGTTACGGAACATGGCACAGATGTTAATCTCCTAGCCATAGGGCCCGATGCCGGGCGTGATTGCCGGTACACCTGGCATCCGGGTTTACATCCCGATTCATGGAACGAGGGCTGGAGCCCGATGGCAGGACACCGCGTCGTGGTGGAGGCGCTGGCTGTGGAGGCGGTGGACAGTACGGGTGACGACGCCGCGGTGCCGCCGCCGCCGCCGCCGCCGCCAGGGGAAACTTATCCACGGTCTTTCAGCACGCAGCCGGCCGTGGCGCTGGCGCAGCTGTACGGCAGCTGCCGCACACTGACCGCCGTCGTGAGTCGAGGTGCCGGCGCCGCTGCCGCCACCACCGCGATCTCGGCTCCTGGCAGCAAGGCGGGGCCACGGCTTACCCGGATAGAGTACGACATGTACGACACGCCTGGTTCGCACCTGCAGCGGCACCCGCTCGTAGGTGTGTGGCCGACTGGACAGACGCGGGGATAAGCCCCGCGAAGGCGACACATTGCCTTTTGCAGTCCTATCGACATTGAACCTTGACCTAGGGTTAGAGCCCAGGGATGTCTAGGCCGTCGCCCCGTCCGCAGTCGCGGCGACCCGATATATGGGGGGTAATCCGTTTCATGATACCGCGCTGTCCTGCTCCGCGTCGTGGGTGCCTTTCTGCTGTCCTGTCCTCACCCCCTCCCAGGCTCCTCCCTGGACCGACTGCTGTTCATCCGCCTCGCTGCGGACATGCGGCCGCAGCGTCGCCGGGCGGGCTACGCGGCGGTGCCGTCAGCGCAGCGGCGGCGGCAGCCGGTTCCCGACGGCGCCGCCGGGGCTCATGCAGCGGCCTTCAGCGCACAACCAGCAACGGCAACTAGCCTGACGCGCCGCGAGGGGGTCGGTGGTGATGGTGGCGACGGCGGCGGCAGCTGCGGGGAACACGGCGACTCGCTGGTGAAGCTGCTGACGGAGGGTTTGGTGGTGGCGGGCAGGCGCTACCGCCCACTGGTCGCCAAAGACGCAGGGAAAGTTGGCGAGAAGATCTGCTTCTTCGCACAGGATACCCTGTCGTATGATGATGTACGACACGGGTTTCGGAGCCTGGGACCGCCGTCAGCGGTCCGGCGACTGCTGGCGGACGTGGACACGGCGGCGGCAGCGGCACGTGCGGCCACCGCTGCTTTTGGTGCCAACGGCGGGGAGGAGGAGTTAGCGGTGGATGCCGCTGCGGCGGCGGCGGCCAAAGCCGCCAGCCGCCCAGAGCTCTTCCTGAGCGGCACTTGGCCTATGGTCGTGGACGCCTCAGCCATTTCGTACACGGAAGACGTTGCGTCGCACATAGGCGCTGTGATGACCGACGGCAACGGCCTGATCTGCGCGCGTCTTGCGAGGACAGTGCCGTACATATTCCAGGGCCTGCGGTCGTCACAGGAGCTGCTGCTGCCGCCACCGTCGCCAGCTGCATGCAAAGGCCCGGAACCTGGGCTTGACGCCGTAACTAAAGCGCCCAGGGCCGCAACCTTCGATAGCAACGGTGCCGCACCCGCCGCCGCCAGTGCCCTGGCACCAGTGGCGCCGGCGCCAATGGTGGACTCAGCCGTCCAGCTGCGAGTGTATGACCCGCGGGTCGGCGCCGTCATCAAGGGCACCTTCACGCCTGTGGTTTCGGGGCTTCCCCCGGGTGTATCGCTGCTGGTCCGGGCCTCACAGGTGGGAGCAGGAGGGTGCTGTGGCTGGCTAGTGTCAGTTGAATTAGTTAATTATACGTTGTACGGCATGTACGGAGGTACAGTAACTCATCTTCTCTGCACGAGCAACCTTTGTTTCCGTGTGCTGCGTAGGTTACTATCCCGGTCTGTGTCCGGAGTGTCCATGTCCCGCATGTGGGGTCACACCCTGTGGCATACGGACAGAGGTACATACGTACGTACACACGGCACTTCATGGCTGGACTATTCCGGTAAAACCGCTCATGCTTGTGACATCCCGGGCACTTTCTTCTTCTTCACGCGGCTCAGATGAGTGAGACATACATACCGGATTACATGATGTGCGTACACAACGCCCCTATGCCCCCAGGTCAAGGCGCCCCACTGGCACAAGCTGCAAGCGGCACTGCCCCGGCTGCCGCCGCCTCCATCTGCTCCCGCCCACCCTCCTCCCCTTCCACCAAGCCCTGGGGGCCCCCCAGAGCTGAAGCAGCTCTTCTCCCCGTTGCCCCTGGGCGCCCCTGGAGCCATCGTCGAGTCGGCAGCCGGGAACGGGGCCGGCAGGCGAGGCAGGGTGGAGGGGTCTGACGGGGTGCTGCTGCTAGCGCCGCGAAGCCAGTCACCCGGCGTCGCCACCGCCGCGCATGTACGGGCCGCGATGGAGGTCGTACGGAAGGTGCCGGCTCGCAGCGGCGCTGTCGCGCACCTCAACGGGCCGTTGCTGCTGCTGTTGAGTGCGTGTTGTGTGGGCGCTGGGTCACTTCTGGATGTGTTGAAGGACGAGCTGCGGAAGGTGTTGGCGGCGCAGCGAGGCGACTTGGCGGCGGCGAGGGAGCTGGCGGGGCGCGGCGGGGACGGCGCGCTGCTGGAGTTGCTGCAGCTGGCGGAGCGAGATGCCGATATTCCACCAGGGCCATTGCACTCTGCTGCATCGCGCGGCGGCGGCGGCGGCGGCGGCGGTAGCGGCGGCGGTAGCGGCGGCGGTAGCGGTAGCGCAGCCATCACCACCGCAGGCGAGTGCGATGAAGGCTGTGGGCTGTCGAACGGAGACGTGGCAAAGCCTGGCCGGGAGCCTGGGCGGCATCCGGGCCACCACCAGCAGCAGCGGCATCAGAGGGCCGCGGGTCCGCAACCCACCCTGGACTACCGTACGAGGGAACTATTGCAGGTGCGATGAGGAGTTGAGGACCTCAGCTGCTTTTCGGTCAGCCAGCGGACACACAGACATACACACAGACATGCTCACTTTCCTTTCCTTACCTACGCGTCGTGGCTCACTTCAGCCATTAATGAACACACGCATGTGCAAAACAGGGCGGGGAGCAAGACGGCACGTCTTGCCGGGGGGCTCCGAAACCCTCCTTATCCCCATCCTTATCCCCAACCACCCGATCCCCCCCGGTGCTGCCATCCTTCCGAATCTCCCCTCCCCCAACCCGCCCACACGCACATGTGCACGTGCGCACACACACATACACATATACACGCGCGCGCATGTGCACATGTGTGCTTTTGCAGTCCTGTGCCGAACGCGCCTGGCGGCAGTTGTGGGATCTGCGGCTGCCGCTGCCCTGCAGCGCCTCCGTGATGGGTCTGCCCGACCCCAGTGGCAGCGTCCCGGAGGGATGTGTGGTGGTACTCCCGGCACTGCCGGAGCTGGACAGCTGTCAGGGCGCCAACCCGGGTTCAAATCACGGCGGGAGCGATATGGCCGAACTGGCAGCGGCTACATCGTCGCCGGAGCGTATTCGGGGACCGGGGCAAACAGGCGAGCGGGAGGTGGTAATCTACAGGTGCGCCTGTGATGGGGGGAAGAAGTGACTGGCTTGTTCCAGGTTGGCTCGCTGGCTGGCTGTGTGGCTGGCTGCCGCAATCGACACTTGGATCGACCAGTTGAGGCCAGCAGGATTGACCAGTTGAGGGCCGGACGTGTGAAGTAGTGAAGAAGACCAATCCGTCCCCGGGTCCCCATGCACAGCACAGCACAGCACAGCACAGCACAGAGCTTGCTGCGATGCCACGTTTCCCGCCTACTGCATCTCCACCCATACATATATACATACATGCATATATATGCATGTATATACATATGTATGTTTACATAATAGTACTCGTGCCCCACGTGCACAGATTCCCCGGGCTGCATCCACGGGACTTGCGGAAGTTCCGTCTCAGCGCCCCGCCGCCCGAGCTGCTCTCCCAGCTGGGCCTTACGTCGCGGCCGCCGCCGCCACCGCTAACAACAACAACAACAACCCTAAGAGATAGCGACACCGCTCAGGCCAGCGGCGGCGGCGGCGGCGGCGGCGCCTCCCATAGTGCCTGTCGCGACGGCGGCAACACGGTCTACAATGCGGGTGTCGGCAGCAGCAATGGCGGCGGACGGCTGCTGTTCTTCTCCACGGCCGGGTCGCGGGCCCCGGCGAGCGGCCTGTCCGGCGGCGATTACGACGGAGACCATTACACCATCATCTGGGACGAGCGGGTGCGTGTGTGCTCTTGTGTGTAAGCATACACAGCTGTACGGCAGGGTACGGCAGGGAATTATGGTAGCTAGGATGTAGCCATAGGCATCCCCGACAGTGCTGACGGGGGTTGATGGTGGGGAGGGGGGGGCTGCAGCGCCCCCCTGGTTGCGGGCTGATGGGCGGTTCCCGGGTGGCCGTCCTCATCCGGCCCGCTAGCCAGGTAGGGCCTCACTGTGTACAGCCCCCGCCCCGCCCCGCCCCGCCCTGGCCCCGGAATGTTTGCAGTGGTCCCCGCACAGCAAGGAAACAGTGTATGTACATGTGTATGTATATCTGTGCGGCCCGCCCTGTCCTGCCCCGGTATTCAAACAGGTGGTGAGTCAGTTTGAGGAGTATCCGCCGGACGAGGAGGAGGAGGCGGAGGCGGAGCTGGGACGCCACCACACGGCACCGACCCGCGGCGGCAGCGGGATTGCCGCATGCGGGGTCGCAGCTGGCGGCAACCGCCGCAGCAGCGGTGGTCGCTTCGAGAGGCCCTCCTCCTCCTCATCATCATCATCCTCATCCTCATCATCATCATCATCATCATCATCATCATCATCCAGCAGTGGGGAGCCCTTCTCGGCGGAGCGAGTGGTTCTAGAGCCGCCGGCGGCCACCACCACCTTGAGACCGCCGTCAGTGACGCCGTTCCCCTGGGGCAGCATGGCGCTGGCGGCGGCAACGGCGGCGCCAGCGGAGGCGGTCGGAGTAGTTGTGGAGCGGGAGAAGGAGGGGGAGGAAGGAAAGCCAGGGAAGCGAACGGAGGCGGCCACAGCGGCGGCCCTGAAGGCGGTGGAGGCGGCGGAGGAGGAGGACGAGGCGGCGGAGGCGGAGTACCTCACGCGACGGTACCTGTTCTGTCACGAGGCGGCGAGTGTGGTGACGGAGGCGTATCGCCTGTGGGGATGGTGCGCGGATGAGTACGGTGCGGACCATCCGTACAGCCTCATGCTATGCAGGTGAGCAGCGGGGGGTCCCCCGAGTGCAGGGTTTGGCATTGCCGTACCAGCGGGGCCGCCCGCCACCTAACCCGGTAGACCAGCGGAGCACCAGGACCAGCAGGAATCTGCCGCGCCCTCCTCCGGTTCCAACCATGGCAACTAACGGCAACGACACGACAACGAAGACGGCAACCACAACTAACGTTTACCAACGGCCATCAACGGCCTCTCCGATAAGTATCATGTGTTTGAGCCCCTATTCGAGCACCTTCAGCCCCATACCGGCCCTCAATCCCCTCCCCCCTCTGGAGACGCACAGACCGAAACCCGCGGCCCCCCCCCACATACATCGCACCGCAGCCTCTACAACGAGGCCCTGGACGCGCCCAAGAGCGGCACCTTCCGCCGGGTGCCGTACGCTTTGCGCGACAAGGTACGGCCGCCGCACTGGGCCGCCGGCCCGTCGACGTTGCCGCCGCTGGCGCCGCCGCCCTCCCCTTCCTTCCGCTCACCATCCCCGGCGGAGTGCGCCTCCGTTGCAAGACTCCTGGGTGGGATGACGGCCGTGCCGAAAAACATGGGAGCAGCGGGAGGCGCTGAGTCGCGGATGGCAGCGGCAGTGGGGCCGGCAGCTGCAACAGGGCCTGCCGCAGGCCGCCACCGGCGGCACCTAGAGAGACGCAGCCAAGAGCACCGGTGGCGGCACCAGGGCGTCGGCGGCGGCAGCGGCAATGGCCCGTGTATCAGTGGCAGCCAGCTGGCAGCGGCGGCGCCGGCGCAGAGAAGGCCCATGGAGAACGGAGGAGCCGGTGGCGGCCTGATACGGGAGGGGAGGCTGGGGCCTGACGGCTTTGCAGGCCCCCTGATGTGGTCGGAGGACAGCCCTGACGGGGCGACGGCCGCCTGCGAGGGGGAGGCCGCGGCGCATGGCGAGGCCGCGGCGCTATTCCTGGAGCCGAGGTGCGCCCTGTGTGCGTGTGAGTGTGCGTGTGAGTGTGGGGGGGATGATGCCCTCGGAAAGGTGTGTACGCCCGGCATTCTGACTTCACCCAGCCGTGCAGTAGCCGCCCCCGCCCCCGCCCCCGCTGGGGTCCTCTACAGCGGTCCCGTGAGCCCCCCTGCCCGCCCCGGGAGCCGCCAGCCGCCCGGAGGACCCTCCCCACTACTGCCGCTACTGCCGGGCCGCGTCACCTCTCGCTCCGCCCAGAAGTCTCGTCAGTGTTCTGAGTTCATGAGGAAGCTCTGGGTATATGACGTTTTTTGTACGTCGCCGGTTGACTCCGCACCTTCTTCCCCAACGTCATCATGGAATCCTTACTTACTTCAGCTCAACATCATTTTCCTACCTTACCTGCACACTGTGGGCCTCTGTGGCTCTGTGCTGCTCCCTCACCCCCTCAACTCTCCCCGCCACGGCAAACCCAAACCGCCCCCGTGCAGGATCCCCGCGGGGCTGTCCGGCTGGTGGCAGCAGCGGGTGCGCCCGTCCACTTCCATCCTGGCGAGAATGCACGAGGTAGCTCCGGGCTGGGGGCCAGCAGGGGGAGGGGCTTCAGGAGGCGGACGATAAGGCTGGCTGGCTGGCTGGCTGGCTGGCTGGCTGCCGAGCGGCTCGAAAGGCGGGTGTAGGACGCACTGACGTCTGTTGTTTGGAGTTCGTGCCGCAGGGCCCGGTGTGGGCTCCCGGGTGGGTGCTATGACGGCATCACTAGCACCGCCACCACCACCAGCACACATACATTACAAAGCTAATACCATTCTCTCCGCCAGTGCTTCTTGCACGCTATGGCAATGCGTACGCGTTTCAAAGTAAGGAACAAAGGCAACCTGCAACGCCAAAAGAGGGGGCCGTCACCACCATCACTGCCACCGCCGTTATCCACATCAGCTCGGAGACCCACAGCCGCTGTCCACGCACCAAACACGTCCGTACCGTGGATCTCCCCCCGCTCTCCCCCTTCCCCTCGCCCTTCCTTCCGAACCGCAGCTCCTACAGAGAAAGGAATATCGCCTGCCCCAGTTGGATCCATGGGTCCTGGTGTACGACCTGCCGACAGTACGGCTCGCCGATACGGCACTAGCGACCCACGGGTCGATAGTCCGCAGCCGCTTACGAACTCACTGGGCCGAGGCGTCACGCGAGTGGGAACAGCTCAGTCGGGTTGTGCAGCGTGCTCGGGTAGGTGGCTTGTGCGGTTCGGTACTTTAGGTGGGTTTCGGCAGTTGGCGGTTGGAGGCCCTTGAGCCCCTTTCTCGTGGCTTGCTCGAAGTGGGCATTAGGGTTACAGTGACGGGGTTTACGGACCCCGACGTGTATAGCACACATAAGTGCACATCTCCAGGACTTCCCCCTCGCGGCGCAGTGTGCATGACTCCTGAAGCGCGAAGAGAGCGACATGGCGCCACGCGACACGGCCTAGGGCCCCCACACCCTTCCCCCCTGCCAGCCATCCTCCTCCTTGGCTCCCCTCCTACCTGCCTGCGCGCCAGGACCCTGACCCCTCGCTCATGTACCAGCATCAGCCACAACGCCGCCGCAGTTCCGCCTCCATTGCCACCGCCCGCATCCTGAGCCGTGTCCTGGGGCAAGCCCACCGAATTATGACGGCCAGGGAGGTGGCGGCGGCGCCGGGGCCAGCTCCGTCGCCGCCGGTGAGCGGTACGGCAGTGGCAAGCGGCGATGACGGCAACAGCGGCAGTGGCGTCGACGGTGGCGGGCAGGGCATCTGCGGCGTGGATGCATGTCCGTGCTGGCTACGGCTGCTGAAGGCACACACCCCTTCTCACAACCCCGGTATGCATATCCGCAGCAGTAGTAGCAGTAGCAGCAGCAGTAGCAGCAGTAGCACTACCCCAATGGTGGAGGAGCCGCTGTGTCTGCCGGAGGTCTGTCGTGCAGCAGGCGCCGCCGGAGGCCCCTGTTTGCAACAGGCCGCCGTTGCCTGCCAGACGGCGCTGTACGAACAACAATGGCGCGTCGTACAGCAGGCGGCGGCAACGGGGAGCACGCATGTCCGGCCGCGTTTTCGGCTGCTGTGGCACCTGTTTGGGCCGTTGCTTCCCGAGCTGAGGCGCCGGGCCAGGTTGGCGACAGCAGGGCAGCGTGCTGTCCAGACATGATACGACATGTACGACATCAAGTCATGTAGAACCAAAAGTAAGGTGGACAATATGACGTTCAAAATATCGTGGCATGGCATGCGGTGGTTGGTCTGCATGATGATGCTTGTGATTTCCCAAGACCCCACTGGTAGCTAGTAGGGGGCCTTCCAATGTACGTGTACCCACACAAAATACAGCGCTGCATGAAGCGTTATCGCCAGCCTTGCACAGTGGCGTGCAGTGGCTCCTTTTTCAGGAGGGGCTGCCGTAACAGTGTTTGGAGCCACCTCCAATCTGACAGTGTGATTAGCAGATTTCGTTACCGCCGGTGCAGGAGGAAGCTCTGCTGGCATTGTGTCTGTATGTTTGTTCTGTTACATATCGATCCGGGCCTGACGCCGCCCAGGGGCACCTAACCGTATTCCAACGGGAGCGACCGCCGAAGCACTCTTTTCTTACAGCGGGAGGAGAGGGGCGTGAGGGGCCACGGTCCCCGCCTGCTCGACAAAGGGCTCGCGACCTGATGTGGATGTTTTTGTGTTAAGTTGGTGGACTTACATCATAGGTGTTAACAATTTGCTAACAGCCATTGTTCATTGTGTGGAACAGGGGGTATATCTTCACCCGTGGCAGCTACCCTGCGAAACCCTGCCTTCCCCAGTATTTCGGGGCACCCTCATCCAGTCACCCTAGTCAACTTCTCAGTGGATCGCTCAGGTTCCGCACCCACCACCAGCATCCAACGGAATCTGCCGGGTCGACTGCGGCGCAACTCCATTCCTGGTCGGCTCGCAGGTTAACTTTATCCCAGGTCACCACCGTCCATCAACTAGGGGCGCAATACCTTTCACGAGCGGAAGTATTTTCGACCCTGACAGGTCTCGATCCCGGGATTCTCCCGTTGGCAATGGTCGCCAGAAGTACCAGTAGTGCCTAACCCTGCATGTGTGAAGCGGTAGCGGCAAATGGAGAATAAAACCTATAGACAAAGTCCAACAGGAAAAAAAACGAGTCCAGTATCGAAGTGTATGTTTTGAAACCAAAGTAGATTCATTGATGACGCTAAGAATTGCCAACAGCACACAAAACTGTCCGCCAGCAGTGTCTCTGCCAGAGCAATGACACACATTCCACCTCGGCAAGGTGAAACAGCCGCAAGCCACCGCACTACCTCCTCTCCCCCCCTACCACTACTACCTCCACCCCATACACGCACATGTCTACCACCACACGAATAAATAGAGAAATAAAAAATAGCAAATATAGCACGCTAACGAACATTAAATTATGAGTCATAACGGCTCGCTCGGAAGTCCAGCCTCCTGATTGCTAGGAGGTGCTTATATGCCAAGTGCTGATGGGATGTTCAGTGCTCAACATGGTATGAGCGATCCATGTCCAATATGCAATTTGGACTGTATGTAATCCTGCACCATGGCCATAAATCTTATAAACACTAAAAACACCCCAAAAATGTAAACTCAAACCACACAGCAACTGTAATTTATTAGCAGGCAATGAACCTACAAACACATACACAAACAAGGGGCCTAGACTGTATCTTGTAAACCGCACATCCCCATGCCGTGCTGGTGCTGGTGGCGGATCTCCGTTGGCCGCTGTCCTCCTGGCTCAGAGCCGTGCGGCGTCACAGGTGGGTGGGGTCTTAGCCATGTGCGTGTGTCCTACTGATTTGGTGCCCACCACCCCCTCATCCGCGCCCCCGCTACGGCCACCTGCTGCCGCCTATCACTCCAGCGCGCGCACGCGATCTCGGCAGTCTGTGCGCCCTGCGGGGTGTCACACACATTATTATTTCACCCGCGCATCCCGTCGTCATCCTGTATATGCATGTAAGCCATTGACAATATGGCAAACCGCGCCTCGCAGCGCATAGGCCAGTCCAGCAACTGCATGCTCCAATTTGGACAGCTAACTTGCGGCCCGATTGCCTTAGTCCCACGTAGCTCACAGCGCTCCGGGGTGCATCTTGTAACCGCCGCGTACTGAAGGATGCCGACACCCCTGTCTCACCCCGCACGCACCCACGACTCGCACCGTGTTCCAAACCAGCCACCAGAAACTCTTCCCCTTATGAACAGCCCAGCCCCCATTAGGACTTCGTTCGAGGGGTGTCCAGAGCCTCAATCAACAACACTGATCAGGCAGGCGGCTGGCAGAGGTTAAGGCCTGGCTTCTGCACCCGTCGCGTCCCGGCGCGTCCGGGTTCAAATCCGCCTGCCGACCTCTCGGGGTGTTTGAGAGGTAATGAAATGGGAGGTGGCCCCCCATCTTGTGGACGGTGTAGGATGTGATAATATCAACTCGCGAGCTGACCAGGAACTAAGTTGACGCGCCGTTGATCCGTTAGATTTGGTTGGATGCTCATGGTGAGTTGCCAAACTCAAAGAGTACACTCTGAAGTCGGATGGGGTGAATGGCTTAGGGTGCCCCTCTAGCAGGGGAGAGCAGGGAATTGCCTCGGGAAGGAGGCCACTGGTGAAGCTTAACCACCCTGTAAAAACACAGCACGCCACGTCTCCAATTCTCTCTCCCCACGACACACCCTACAACACGGACACACAAGGAGCTCCTTCCCCCAATGGCACGATGTACACCCCTGCAAGCCGATAATCAATGCACGCGCCATCCTGCCACTCATACTGACAGTACTAGGTACTGCAAGCTTGCTGGGTCACATACATCAGTACACCACACCACACACCCCTGCCTGGTATTTTGTAGTACACTCGGTCACTAGACACCAACTCGTGCATGTGTGTTACACTGGACACACTATGAAATGCGATATCTGTTCGCACCTGTCAGTGATGGCACGCAGTACATGCAACCACAATGCAGCAGTCCTGTATCGATACACAGCCTGTGAACGAGACATATCATCAAAGTGTTGGGCCAAGTTGCCCAGGTTCGTCCTTCAGGCTTCTGCCACTCGCTCCACAGGACCATGCACTCTTAGCCAACCTGCGGCGGTGTTTGCGCCTTGAACTTCCCCATGCTATTGGCAACCACGTAAATCCACGGCATCTGCAGGTTGTTGAACTGCTTCTTTACCACGCTCTCCGAGAACTTGCTCCCACCAAACGCAAGGAAGACAGCCCGCTCACCATACTCCGCCAGGTGGAGTGCTTGGTAGTCCGCAAGCACGGTCTCGTCTGACTCCAGCTCATCAGCACTCAGCCCCTTGAGCCACTCCCAGTGTTTAACTGACGCAAAGAGTTCAGACTGGGCCTTTTTGGCCATTGTGTCCATGTTGTGCTTAGCCTCTACCAGCACAACAACATCACGCCCGTCGCGGCGGCCCACGACCAGGCCATCGAGGTCACCGACCGCGCTCTGGTATGGGTACCGGGTGCCAAAGATGACCTGCCCGTCCTCCAGCAGCTCGGCCACTGCACACGCCACCCCCTCCTCGATAAGGCGGTCGTCCGTATCGCGGTAGCCTTTCATTTGCTTCAGCTGCTCAGAGTGGCCCTTCTTGGCCTCCTGCTTCGCCAGGCGCTTCTCCACAAGATTGTTGGCCCGGCACTGCTCCAAGGCGAATGCTCTCAGGCTCTGGTCAGTCCAGGGGCTGTTCACGACGACTTGCTCGCCGAAGACGTCCAGCATGTCCTCCTCTTCCATGGCTTGCTTCAGATAGGGCATGAACACTTCGAACCCGAAGCGAACTCGCAGGTAGGGTTTCTTTTTTTTGAGGACCTGCAGCACGACTTTAAAGTCCTTCACGTGTGCGCTTTCCAGGCGATTCGCGTCCAGGTCGATCGCCATCGTCGCTGCAAAGTGGAACAGAGAAACAATTCACATCCGAGACAGTGTGGCCGAACCAGTGTTGCCAAACCCACCTTTCAGTTCAACCTGGCTTTCCGCAATCTTCGTGAAGAGGTTGGTGAGCACTCTCGGGTTGACCATGTGGTCAGAGAGGTCCCAAAGTATCGCGTACCCGTCTGCCGCATAGCCTTCATACTCCTGGAGCAGGTCGTCCGGCGTCAGGTTATCAATGCCTCCTTTCGCTTTGTGGCGTATAGCAACCTCCATGCTTGCTGCGAAAATCAGGAAATGATACTGTGTACAAAAAATTTGATTTAACTTGTTTAACAAGCAGTTACGAATGAGTGGCCCAATTTTTGGTTGGCTAGTGACACTTATGGCGGCTTGCAAAACAAATTGCGGGATGCGAGGCGAAGTGCACTCTTGTGTACTTCTGAAGTCGCAAGTTGCAAGTCGCAAGTCGCAAGTCGCAAGGAACACGCAAAATTTCTATTATGATATTCTATATACGCGAATACGTACGTGTGCATACTCAGTTTGTAGAGCGGATCTCACAACAGGATCCGTTTCTACTACAGCAAACAAGTGCGCGAACGTGTTTGCCACCTCTATTTCGACGAGAATTACACGCAAGCGCAAATAGCTGAAGCTTTCGGGCACAGACCTTGCGAGAGGACTGTGCATGCTATCATACAGTCCTACGTGGCGAATGGCGATGTCCTGCCGCTTAGAGGACAAACAGGAACACGCAAACCACGCAAGTTTGATGAGATCGCTGCACAGACGCTGGTGGAGCTGGTGCAGGCCGACGACCAAGCATTGCTCTCCGAACTGGCCACCGCTATGACAAACTTACTGGGCACTCTTTGGAGGGGCCCTGATATTAGCCGTGCATTGTCTGAGCTGGGTTATGTCCGCAAGAAGGTTTTTACCAGGGCTTTCGAGGCACGGGAATCAGTTCAGCTGGCATATCGCGAGCTTGTGTGACAATATGTTCAAATGGCCCAGAAGCCTCCCACTCTGTAACAATTCAATTCAACTTCGTGAGCTTGTGCGCGCGCGCGTGTGTGTGTGTGTGTGTGTGCGTGTGTGTGTGTGTGCGTGTGTGTGTGTGTGTGTGTGTGCGTGTGCGTGTGTTGCAAGTATTTGACCGTGCCTGAAACTGGCCAGGGACTGCTGCCCAGCCCCAACGGAAAGACCACCTAAGCTCCTCCCGCAGACAGGAGAGGGGTGTAAGGGGCCTCTGTCCCCTCCTAAGCAGCCGAGAGCCACGGGTCCACTAGTTCCACTCTCCTCCCCCGGGGATCAAGGCTCCGTCACGCGAGTTTGAGCACTGAGCCTGAAACACACAAGAAGACTGGCTCTTGGGGTGAGGGTTCAAGAAGACCGAGGAAACCCGGAAACCCTGAACAGACCCTACCCCTCCCTATTAAGGCACCAGGCCCTAATAGAAAGCTCGGTCTCTCACCCGATTCTCTGATGCTTGCCCACAACTGACCGGGGGGAGCGGGTAGGGTTCATTGTTCGTGCTGAAATCCATAATGACCACCTGAAATCGCCATGCCCCAATGTTTGCATCAAATGCTTATATGTTTCCGGTTAGGCTGTTGGGAGTTCGAGATTAACCAACCTAACGGCCATGAGTGCACAGCGTGCACCTGCAGGCTTTGTGACTGCGGGGCGGTTGAAGACGAAATGCATGTCTTTGTGGAATGCCTGGCGTACATTAGTACACGGGCAAACGTGACCTCGTGTTTCAAGGGCGCAACATGCGCACGATTATGACCGAGGCCCCACCCCTGGCACTAGCCAGGTTCCTCTCGGAAGTCTGGGAGACCCCGGCATGTTGCTCTAAGGCGCTCCGTGCTCAAGCGGACGAGGGTGGACGATGATGGTCCACCATGTAACCGCCCTAAAAACGATTTACCGCCCATGGGCCCCCCAGCTCTTACGGACACCCCCACACTTGTGTGGAACTTGTGCGGACTAGGCTAGTTCCTATCAGTCCACCGCCGGGGCTAGGGATGCCTCGAGGCAGTGTGGTTGTTACAGTGGGCTCCAGACTCACAAAGAGTACAGCCAGCGGGCCAGCAGGCCGTGCACTGCACCTGATACGATGAGGGCAAACAAGACTCCCACCCAGACCAGACAACGCAAGTCACCTAGACAGCCAAAAGCAAATCCAAGGGCAGGCTCAGAACCCGCAACCACAGGGGAATTTGCAATTAGACTCCCCAACTGGCGAAAGTCCTCGGAACCCCACCAGAAGGCCGACAAGCAAATACTGCAGTAAGTTCTCAACAGCTGTTAAGAACTTGATGAGATACAACAAGCAAATACTGATAAGAACTAGATGAGGCCTGAGTGAGCTTGTGCGCATGAATAGCTACATTGCATTGCTCAGACAGACGAAGCCACATAGGCCGCAAGCCACTTCAGCATAGTTGCGCCTGCGATCGGCCATAGCCCGCAGACGCGGACGCCGCAAATGCTATCTGTTTACACCCTACAGGCGTGGTTCACGTACGTATTCGCGTATATAGAATATCATATAGAAAATTTGCGTGTTCCTTGCGACTTGCGACTTGCGAGTTGCGACTTGCAACTTGCGACTTGCGACCTTAGCAGTACGCAAGAGTGCACTTCGCCTCGCACCCGCAATTTGTTATGCAAGCAGCCATAATAATAATAATATAACAATAATTATAATAATAACAACAATAATAATAATAATAATAATAATAATAATAATAATAATAATAATAATAATAATAATAATAATAATAATAATAATAATAATAATAATAATAATAATAATAATAATAATAATAATAATAATAATAATATAATGCATGTTCCAAGATTTCCAAATTTGCTGACGCCTGAATCCACTGTCCTGATCTCCGGCCAACTGTACAGGCCCCCAGCAGCGCTGTGGAGGAATATGTGGAGAAGCTGCAGTTCCTTGGGGAGGTCCGGGAGCCGGAGGAGCGGCGCGCGCCTTGCATAATATGGTCTGCTGCTGCCTCTTCTCATGGACGCGGGCGTGGCATGGCATGCGGTGGTTGGTCTGCATGATGATGCTTGTGATTTCCCAAGAATCAACTGGTAGCTAGTAGGGGGGCTTCCAATGTACGTGTACCCACACAAAATACAGCGCTGCATGAAGCGTTATCGCCAGCCTTGCACAGTGGCATGCAGTGGCGCCTTTTTAAGGAGGGGCTGCCGTAACAGTGTTTGGAGCCACCTCCAATCTGACAGTGTGATTAGCAGGTTTCGTTACCGCCGGTGCAGCTTCCTGCTGCCATGTTTGTTCTGTTACATATCGATCCGGGAGCGACCGTAGCGGGAAGAGAGGGGGTTGAGGGGCCACAGTCCCCTCCTGCCCGACAAAGGGCTCGCGACCTGATGTGGATGTTTTTGGGCGAGGCCCCGGGCGCGAAGCGCCATTCGGGGGGCCGAGCCCCCCGGGTTCACTGCTGTCAGTCAGTCAGTCAGTCAGTCAGTGGCTTACATATCTCGCCCCGCAAAAAATAGCGTTTGAATGCTATATCCCTTCTATATCGAAATGCCAAAGGAGACATTCCAGATAAATCGGAGCGCGAAGATAGCTTTCCATGGCTCCGAGTTTGACATAAAGTTACATATCTCGCTCCGCAAAAGATTGAATGTAGAAGCTATATCTATTCTATATCGAAATGCCAAAGGAGATATTCCAGATAAATCGGAGCGCGAAGATAGCTTTCCTGTAAGTGGCTGCACCGGGGCCGAGCCCCTTTTCGGCTTTAAAAAGCCGGCCCCCTAGTCGTGTTACGTTGGTGGAATTACATCGTAGCTCGTACCAGCAGCTCGTCACTGACGTCACTTGGTGGAGCAGTGTGTCTGGCGGCGAGGGCGAAGTTTTCTAGTCTGGGGATGCCAATGGGGGGACGACCGCCCTCCATTCTATTCACCGGTGTACACACACACACACACACACACACACACACACATACACACACGTGCTGTCAGGTTCCGGTCATGGCTACAATTCTAGGGACTGCCAGAGCAATCATCGACAAAACCCAAGCACTGTCGGCGCAGCCAACACATACTGGGAATCCACCGACATTCCGAATCCGGGGCTGGTGTGTGTAACGCAGCACGGCACTTTACAGGCCGAAGCCAAACTTAAACCCGCCACCCGAACCCGAATCCGGCGTGCCGCGCTCGCCACCGGGCCCACCAAAGCTGAAACCGAACGAGAAGCCGCCGCCATCATTATTACCACCGCAATTGCCACACGCCCCAATGCCGTCACTTGCGGCGGCCCTGGGCCCCCTGTCGCCCTCTGTCGCTTCAGCCACGTGACCGTTGCAATGCCGACCAGCAACACCGTTGGCACAACCACCTCCGCCATTGCGGCTGCTACCGATAGCGTGTGGCTGCGAATCGGGGGCGCGGAACAGCGCAGCCAGCCTGCGGGATACGCGGGTTCGTTAGGAGTCGGGGGAGGCTGATGTAGAAGGGGCACGTGTGTCGCTGTGTGCATGATGGATGCTGATCCGTGATGAGAGGTGCCTAAGCTTCCCAGCCCAGCCAGGGGAATGTGGACCGGACTGCAGTATGACTCTGATAGGGCTGCGACATGGGGAGGTTGTCCCTCCGCATATGATGATGGTGACCACACATCGCTGCGGAAGAAGAGTTGGCACTGCCACACGCTTGCATATGACAAGACCCCGGTCCCGGGCCCAATACGCACACCACACGCACACCACCACACGCACACCACACCACACCGCGCGCCTGTTGGCCTCTCGCGCCTTGGCCCTCGCCTCCTCCTGCCTCGCCTCCACCGCCGCCAACACATCGGGCCGCTTTTCCCGCAGCACCGCCATAAATCTGTCGTACAGGTTACATCTGTAGGCGGACCAAACCAAAGAAAGGCGGCCGTCAACGTTGGTGCACGAATGTACGGGATGCCGGGCGTGAGCACCATCACCGACTAGACTGCAACTTGCTGGTTAGAGCTGGAGTTGGAGTTCGCTTTTTCTTCCGCCTGAAACATTCCTGGGAGGGCATCAGATGGTGATGCAACCAGCTAAAAGTCAACTGCCAAAGCCCTAGTCGGCGGGATCCGGTGCGCAAGCTGCTGAAGGGCCGGAAGGGGTGTCCGGTAGTGCCCGTCTAGCCGGATGGCACGAGTCCTGTCCGCAATTATTCAGCTCCCAGGTAAAGACCATACACATGGGGTCGCGCAGTCGCCAACACACAACCCCGTACACTCGCTGTCGGCCCCCCCCGCACCTGCTCTCGAGTGCGCAGCCCGACACCAGTTCGGGCCTGCGGGACTTGAGGAAGGCCAGGGTGGCGGGTAGACCCACTGCCGACACGAAGTTCTGGGTCAGAGCGCAACTCTCCTGCGGGCCAGACCCCGTTGGTGTCGGTTGGTGTCGGTTGGTGTCGGTTGGTGTCGAGAATATGCGTTTTGAGTTGGTGGTCAGGGATGAGAAGAGGGGGGAGGTGAGAGGATAACATCCCTCTCCAGTATCCTCTTCAGCGGTGAGCGGGTCAGAGAACATGACTGCGAGTAAGCAGCTGGGCCGCTGGCGACCGACCCGTGGGTCAGCTAGCACGACGACCCAGCGAGAAACACACACTGGCATTGTGGTGCTGCGCGGTCAGGTGTCTAGGCGAGGCCACGTGCCTGCAACACGATTGCAATACCCCCTCCCCTTTCCCCCCCCACTGAAAACCCACCTCGAGATTCAGTGCGCAGTGCCACCAGCCTCGGGGTACGAACAACAGCTCTCCGGGCCGAGCGATGAACTCAATGGGGCGGACCTGGACGTGGGGGTCGGTGGGTCGGCGTTGGTTGGTCCGATAATGCAGTAGGGCAGATGGGAACACGGCGAGGCTTAGGGGTTAACAGCCCGCGCCCCCCAGGGCGGGAACATGTGGCGCACGGAACCGCGGACGCGTGTTCCCCCCGGGGGGAGCTGACCAGGGATAATCATGTTGTTGTTGTTGTTGTTGTTGTTGTTGTGTTGTTGTTGTTGTTGGTGGTGGTGGTGGTGGTAGGTGTGTGGGCGTACTCCAGATGGGTCCGCACGCCCCTTAAAACAGCTGTACTTCAAACGCCCCGCCTCAGGCACCCTCAACGTCTCCACCCCGTGACCCCATGGCCAACCTTGCCCTCGCGTGTCGCGACGTAGAAGTTGACGAACCACTCCGTTAGCGACAGCGGTGTGGCCACATCCGCACCGTCAGGCGAGGGGTGCACCCCGGGCGGCACCGACCCCGGCGGGTACATGACCCACTTCTTGGCGCCCCACAGCAGGGCATTCCAAGCTGACGTGGCGTTGGGATCCACGTGGAAGGAGGAGCCGCTGCGACGTGGACCTAGGATCAGCCACCTAGGGGGGCAACAGGAGGGTGGGGGGAACGAGGGTGTGTGTGTGTGTGTATGCGTAAGGACTACACGTGCCCCATGCTTGGGAAGGACGTCATCTCAGCAGGAGAGGTGGGGCTGGGGGGATGAGGTTGGGGTTGCGTGGGTGGGCCAGCGAACGCGGTCGGAGACGGGGTGGTGTGTTCGGGCGGGGGGAAGGAGGGGAGAGGCGGAGGGGGAAGTGGGGAGAGGCAGGACGACGGGACGAAAGTTCACGTAGGTGAGGTGAGGTGAGGAGAAACGGCGGCAGTGAACGCCGCTTTCGAGTAACTCGCGGCGGTCGCTCGCTGAGGTAACGGATACCGTTAGCGATTAGCGGCCAACACACAGCGCCAGTGAGGTGTATCACAGGTGCGTACGAAGAAACACACGGCGACACGCACGCGCACATACACACACACGTGCGATGTTTTCATTTCCGACACATCCACGTGGGCCGCACAGACGTACATACAGAGGGTATACACACACAGACAGCGCATACACGTGCGGTCCCCCCTCCCACCGGTAGTCGGGGCGCTCCCCCTCCCCCAGCAGCCCGAAGAGGTCCTCCCCGAACTGAGGCGGCACGTGGTAGTCAAGCTCCAGAGAGGGAGCCACCGCCGTGAAGTGCTTGTCGAACAGGTACAGCGGCATCTCATCGCGATTGGACGAGCAGTACGACAAGTAGGTACTGAAGGGCATGGGCATGTTGCCTGCGTGTGCGCGCGTGCACGTCTCGGTGTGTGAGTGTATGTATGTTTGTAATGAAAAGGGTGTGTCCACCGCCCACATATTTCTGTGTTCACGTCCCCAGGGCCCTGCATGGCCGGTGGTGGTGGACGGGCCGGTTGGGTTGGCAGTGAGGGACCGTCGTACACACACACACATACGAGGGCTAGATCCGGATAGGTTGTCCATGTCAACCACACAGGGGTACGGCAACTGCTGTACGGGTACTCTCAAGTAGACGACCGGGACATATCAATCCCACGCGACACGACACCGGAAGGCCTCCCAGCCGCTGCCCCCCGGGCCCCGGCTCAACCCCCTTGCTCAGTGCTTGGCCCGAATCCTCCCTCCCTCCCTTCCCCCCCTTCCTAGCCGCCCCGCTAACCCCCGTGGGGCTGACAACTTCTTCTCTCCACACACCCACCTACCAAACCTGCGCACCCCCAAACCCCGCCTGCCCTCCCGATCTCCCTCCGGGGCCCCCCGCCACTCACCCACAATAACCCGCCTGTCCCCGAACACCCCGGCCAGGTACTTGCAGCTCCACTTCCCCCGGGCCGGCCAGCAGGACATGGCGTCCTGGCAGCCCCCCCCCCGGGGGACACGGGGGTACGTGCGGTGGCGGGCAGCACAGGGTGGGGACCGTGTGGTGGTGGTGGCAATGTGACATGATGCCGCGCAACATAGCAGGCGGTTAGGTAAGTAGGTTAGTAAGTAGGTAGACGCAGGCCGTTCGACGCCGTACATGGATCTTGTCGTACCGTTAGGATGACGGGACGGTTAGGGATTTCGTACTCGCGCCGAAACTGCTCGGGTGTGAGGCCGCTCCGCCTGTGGAGGTGAGAACGCGGACAGAGAACGGGAGGGAAGGGAGGGAGGTGTGTGTGTGTGTGGGGGGGGGAATACGGGGCGCAACCTGGAGACCCCGGGCGGCCCTCAGCCATCAGGCGGCGGATTCACACCCTCTCCCCCACCCCCTTCCCCTCCCTGCCACTACCTCCCCCCCCGCCCACCTTAAGGTAACACCCCCCCTCCCCCCCCGCCCTTCCTCGTACCCAACTTCCTGGCCCCAAAATGCAACCCGGCCACAAACAGCCCCGCGCTCGCAAACCCAACATCTCCCCCCCAGCCCCACCTGTCTATGTTATCCGTCTCCAGCCACTCGTACGGCAGCTTCATGGTGGCGCAAAACCAGGGTTGGTACAGCAGGTCCGAATAGAATCCGCGCACTCGGAGATAGCGTTGCCGACCACACCCGGGCACACGGCGCAGTAGCCGCCGGCAGCTGCTACCCCCCTGCTGCTGCTGCTGCTGCTGCTGCGGATGCGCTGTGCTGTCGGCAGCGGCGGAAGAGGGTCCGGGACCGGCGGTTTCGGAGGTGTCGCCTGCTGCTGCTCCTTCTGCTCCTGCTGCTACGGCGGCGGCAATCTTCTCCGCCTCCACAGGCACCACTGAGCAATTAGGCAGTTCAGCCTTGCGGCGTTTGGCGCTGCGAACCACATCAACATCCGCTTCGGATGTCCGGGGCACCGCCACTTCCCGGGCAGCTGCATGTCCGTGCTGCTGTTGATGTTGATGTTGATGTTGATGTTGCTTGCTGCGTCGGTCCTGCTGCTCGTCATCTCCCTTCATCGCCTCGTCTTCCTGCTCTTCCTCCTCCCCCTCCCCCTCTCCCTCCCCCTCTCCGCCCTCGTCATCCTCTCCTCTGGTATTCCCCACGTTGCCGTCACTCTCCTCCTCCTCCTCCTCCCCCTCCTCTTCCTCCTCCCCCTCTTCCTCCTCCCCCTCCATTTCCTCCCCCTCCCCC